CCCCCCTCCCAGGCGTAAGGTTATATTTGAACGGCCCCTAATTGCACTTCCCCTTCCCACAGGCCTACATCTTTTTAAAAGGAAAAGAAAGATCTTTAAAATTAAAATGGTGGTCTTCGCATGAAAATCGATTCAGTAGAACTGGAAATATTAAAATTTGCTTCTGAAAACAAAGCAATTTTTACAACACGATGAAATAAAAACTACTGGCTGTGTTATTCTGTATAATATAGATTATGAAACTTCAGGACGTATTATTATTTTCCAACATCTTTTGACGCCTGATCTGTATAGGTTGAAGTTTTCACAACGGCCAATAGGATTTTCCGTAAAAATGCATAATATCTACAAAAAGCCAAACCACCGAATCGACCGGTCAGTGACCCTGGCACCCCGCTCTCCCCTGCACACTGTGATAACGTGTTGCTTCGGCATCTCATTATTCAACTATTATTAATACGTGCGGCTATTGCAATTATGATGTACTGACTGACAAAACAATTCAGTTTTGTTTTTATTTTACCGTATACAGTGGAACTCGGATTCAACGAGAACTCGGATTCAACGAGATGAGATAGATTCCCTGGGTTTTTTTTCTTCTTTCAAATCAATAAAAATAACCCGGATTCAACGAGCACTTAAATCAGCGAGCTCGGATTCAACGAGGTTGTTTCCAGGGTGAACAGCTCCCGTAGACGTGGCTTCGCTCATTTTTCTCCCAGAACGAACCTTATCTACCGTATTCTCGGAAACCATCCATTGCACCTGCATCGTGAACCATTATATCTATTCTCTTAGCCGATTGCATGCGACCAATCAGCGGCCTTTTTTCATACCAAGACATATGTTGTTGGCACGCCCACGTGTCTACTTTTGCGTGTGTCGGGGTCGGATGGGCGGCTTGTACACGTGGGACGGTGTGTGCGTGTCGGGTGGCACCAGCGGTCCGGGTGTTGAACGTCGCAGATACAAACGCGTCACAGTCTTTTTTTCCATTCGGCTACTGATTATTATTACAATGATAAGCTAGTGCTAGTCTTGACGTAGATCTACGTAATGAATTGTGAGCTGGTCTATGGAATCAAAAGTTGCCGTATGCTAGGCTCTACACAGCAATACCACTTTTTGGTAAACATTCGAGATGACACAGGCGTATGCATTTGAATGAATCGCTCTCTTTTTTTACACAGCTCATAATACACAGGCATTTCAGGCACTACTTGTGACTTCTCTTTACACATTATGTGCTCAGTGCCTGTAATAATCTACACAAAACTCATCGAACACTCGGATTCAACGAGATTTTAAGTCAGGCCCGGCGACGCGCTTTTCCCTTTCGTCAACCCGCAGCCACCTCCCGAATCGTCAGCCACCCCCAACCTTTGACACGGGTCAAACTTCCATCTATTCATAGGTAGTTACCGGAACATGTATAGGTGAAGTGATGTGCCGTGATAGTCGCGATGTATTATTTATTGAGATTGTTTTGGTCTCTCTTTACTCATCACCACGAGAATTTCTTGAAATTTTTCCCTGGACTCTGCCTTTACTAAAATCTCGAATCTAGATCTAGATCTAGAGTTGTAATCTAGTGGCAGGTTGCAGATTTCTGTTGTTATCCAGTACCGTACATTCAAGAGATTAAATAAATTGGACTAGACTCTAGATCTAGTAGTAGACTCTTCTACTTCTACTTCTAAACCTTCGAGATTACAAAGGCCAAGCCTAGGCTTGTAAGGATTCGTTTTGTTAAAAGTGTTGTTTAACACAAAGTCTATGAAGTTAGCAAACCTAACACATTGTTTTCTAACGAAATGAAGCTTAAATTGACTTTTATATTGTCAATAAGAGATCAAGTTTAATCACCTAATCATTAAAGTAAGGAAGTGGCTATCCTCACCCGGGGTGAGAATAAAAACCCTACAATTGACCTCTCACCCCGAGTGAGACTTGCCAGCGTTAGCTATTCTCACCCAGTGTGAATTCCTAATTTCGAAATACTTTCTATCGGTGTGGATGATCAAATTGACAAAAGCAAAGAAAAAATTACGTTATAGCACAAACGTAAGCTAATTTGATCGTCTACAAAGACGCTATGGCTCTTTCACTTTTCGAATCAACCGAACTACGCGGGTCGCCATTTTGTTTTGCCCGAAAGTTCTCGCAAGATCTACTCCTCCCCCTTCTCTCTGTCTCTCTCTCTCTGTCTCTGTCTCTCCTCTCTCTCTCTCTCTCTCTCTCTCTCTCTCTCTCTCTCTCTCTCTCTCTCTCTCTCTCTGTCGGCAATTTATTAAATCTGCAACCTGCAATTAGATTACAACTAGATCTAGATTTGAGACTTTAGTAAAGGCAGAGTCCAGGGAAAAACATCAATTAAATTCGTGTGGTGCAGATGAGTAAAGAGAGACCAAAACAATCTCTCTATTGCGACTATCATTGCACATCACTTTGCCTAATACATGTTCCGGTAGATTTAACTACCTCTAAATAGATGGAAGTTTGACCCGTGTCAAAGGTTGGGGGTGGCTGACGATTCGAGAGGTGGCTGCGGGTTGACGAAAGGGAAAAGCGCCCCGGCGACCTCGTTGAATCCGAGTTCCACTGTATTTGACTTTTGAATAGTGCAGGTGATAGCTAAATCTAGATTCCCTGTCTAGAATCAGTAGCAGTAGTAGGCTAGAAGCAGCCAGAGAGCCTACATCTGCTAGATCTAACTTATTGTTTTGCCTGTATAACCTCCTTGCTTTGAGCTTTGGAACTGAAACAAAACGAATTGCACAGTTCTAGTTAATTTTAGATTCAGCATCTAACCATATTTTCCAGAGTTACTAGTAACAAATCTCACCATAACAATCACTTAAAAAAAAAACTGTTATTAGATAAAACCCCCCCCCCCCCTCCCCCACTAAAATCTGTTTTGCACAAACTTACTAAATTCTAGTAGAGAACAGGGATTACTTATTATATACATTATAAGCATCTGCTCAGTCTTTCAGTAGGCCTACACATAATTTTATGTTATTACTTTCTGGATATTTTTACATTATCAATTTGTGCCCTTTTCTTTGATAAGAATAGCATAAGCAGTGGACTTTTTAGACAGCGAGTCTCTGACTCAATATTTTATTATTAATTGTACTAATCAATGAAACTTGCTAATTGATAATAACTGAAAAGAACAGTTGTCAAGAATAGTGAAGAAAAATAAATGGAAAAAAAAAGATATGTCCAAAAAATTGCAAGGGCAAGTGAAGATCATAGATGATTTTTTTTTATTTTCTGGCCATCTTTCCGATGATCATCAAATGTTCCAGTGGGCCTATTAATATGTCTATGAAGAACAGTTTGCTTGATTTTGTACTTGAAAGCATAAAATATAGTTTCACACAAATGTAAGCACAATGCTTTGACTTTGATAAAGAAGAATAAGAAGCTGACTTACGATCATTGTTGTTTTTTTAATGGAATCCATTTTACGTTGAGAAAAGCGCTAAAAACAAGTTTTGAAATTTTAAGAATGCCAATAAGATTAGGAAATCACTACCTAGTTGGCTTACTCTTTAATAATCATGAGCAGTTAAGAAAAACAAAGAATGATGTAGGATTTGTCTAAACTGAAACATGACCATTAGCAGTTAAGATATTGCCCATTTTGTCCGATTATCCTTGCGGATGAATTTTAAAATCACCCTGTACTGTACCTCTATAAGTACCTCAAATATATATTAAAATTAAAATTAAAATAAATTAAAATATTAGTATAGCAATTAAAACAGCGCATCGGGTTAGAATCAGCCACGTTGGCAACCTCCACCGAGAGGTCGCCAGACCCCTGGGGGGAGACTTTCTTGGATCTGGGGATGTCACATGCTCTGAAAGCTTTGCCAATGGCAAAGACGCTTTTAACCCTAACTCTGGCAAGTGGTTTCAACAGGAATGGCAGGGCCAGTCAGCCAAAACGTGCACATGCTTTACAAATCAAATTTATGGACTTGCATCAAATAAAAACCCTACAAAAGTATATATTTTCTGAAAGATAATTGAATGAACTTTTATATTTTACCATTGAACATATGATTTTATTTTATTTTCAAGGGGTTATGTAACTTTGAAATCCAAGATGGCTGACTTCAAAAATTTACATGCTCATTAGCATATTCACCAATCTAATGTATTCCTTGTTATAAAAAATGTGAGATAGCAGAAATATGGGTTTTTCAATTACCTTTCAGAAAATGTATAGTTTTATAGGTTTGAGAAGAACAGGTAATGAGTTATGACTGTTTCAATTTGTCATGTGGTCTGTTTCGAACGCAGCTGATACTCGCTAATTTTATACCATACTCAACATAAAAACACTCCAAGTACAACCACGTGGTTTTCAGCAATCTGCTGGTAGTCTGTAATAATTAGTATAGCAAAAGGAACCTACTTTACTCTATAGCTCTCCTTTTTCTGCCCCTATTAGACTCCCAAAGTAGTAGAATCTAGTGTTCCATTTGAAAGAGAAGTCGGGGCAGGATGAGAACTGGTAATGTATCCCCATTGTCTGTCAGATCTAATCCCAATCTTGACTGAACACAAATAAATCCACCACTAACAGTGTCTGAATTACTTTCCCTAGTCAATTCACTTTCAAATGTATCCAAAAAAGATCTATTTTTGGCCATTTTAGACCCACACAAGTGATAGATCTACACTGGCATTAGTGGCTTGTGACCTGATCAACAAGCTTTCAAAACATCCCTCTGTTTTGAAAGCAAAATACTCTTCTCCTAAGCCAGAATGGTAGAAATATTCTGATTGGTTGTAGGTTAGCCTTTTAGCCAATCAGAAATCACTTTAGGAAGCCCCAAATATTTAGTTGGAAGGCAGAAGCAGCAGTTTACTATATGGTCCTATGAGATCGGCCCTGCCAGTTTCATGGCAGGAAATGGGCCGATTTAATCGGCCCTTGCCAGAGTTAGGGTTAAAGAAGTTATTTTTTGTGTGAGACTCATCGGCTGAGGAGATCACCAAATAAGGCGACCATCCTAGCGATGTTTGTCTAGGCAGGTCCCAGATGCTGATATTATCGTCCTCTCTCAATCGTTTTCGCTTGCCCTGGTCAGGATTCGCACCCGCTCCTTCTGACAGGAACTTGTTGGGAATTGGGGTAGGGGGGAAAATTGTTTTTTTTATCCATATATTACGTTTTTATTCATCTCCAGGGCTCCCCACCCGCCACCGAGTCCAACAAGGGGACACCGCTCGAAAGTCTCCATAGCTGGTGTCAGGGCTACCCTAGAGGTATACTCCCAATCAGACTCAGACGGCAAGAAATCGTGTCTCCTAACCAAGATTGGCCCCAAACCGGTTCTATGAACCGGTCGCAACCGATTGAGTGCAGTAGGCCGCTGCACACCCGCCCGTCTAGACCGAATCCAGGGCTAAAGTGGCGTGTTGGTGAGGGAGGACACACCTCAGCCACCAGGGTCCCCTTCTCCGGTCGTACCCCACTGTCAACAGGGTGCCTCGCGTTGCGGGGATTTGTGGTCTATTTTTTGCTGGACCGGACCTTCGGTCGACAGATCGGAAAGGAAGATAGATGGACATAGCAAATGCGGACAAAAAGATGCCACCCCTACGTCAGAGAGCTAGTGACGTACGAGTGGCATCCCACCAGCGGGGGGGTTACACCCCCTGTTGATGGAACAGCCAACTATTTTTATTTTATTCCCTGGTCAGCTCGGGGAAGGACGAAAGAAGAAGGAAGAAAGACGATAGAAGACAGACGATACACCGAATCAAGTGTCGCCCATGTGCACCTGAGCGTAGATGTCCATGGGCGACAAATCGCCAGTGAAGGGGCTGCACCTCCTGTTGGCAGAGCAATGGGTCTATTTATAATATATCCCCCCGACCCACTGGGGGTGGGGGTCTACTTTAACATGCGCAACTTGAACACGAGAACTCCGAGATTTTTTGCCCTAAGGTCTGAGGAGTTTTTCGTTGCTTTTGAGTTTGTTTGTTGTGTCCAAAAACACAGTAGTGTGCTGGGTTTCTGGAGTTTGATTGTGTACTGTACTGAGGGTTTGTGTTCGTCTGAATGTTAACGGCGGTATTTTTTCTTGGGCCTGAAGAAGTGTGAAAATCCCTCAGCAGGGCGAGGCGGAGCCTTTGGTTTTTTACTGGGTCTAGCATTTTTAGGACGTGGGGTTTTGCCGACCCCCCCCCCCCCCCCACCCCTAGCTAGGGCAGTGCTACTGACTGGTGTCTTTCGACCAATCTCAAAGGGGGGATATAAACGTTCTTATGCACAGTAGAATTGTAAATGGGCTGATTTGTATCACGACGCGGTGGAATCAGGGCAGGCGCTTGTCAATTTTAGGGCAATTTGAATTGTTGAGTGAATCGTGTCATCAGCTTATTCATTTGTCTTGCATTAGATGTAAAAAATCCATGTACATGTACCTATCTATCTCTAGAATAGAAGAAGTCAAGATGAGTCCGCAGGTGGGCGTCATCTAGTTTCAGGGGTAAAATTATCGAGAAAATTGCCGACTAAGTTAACTTACACTTACATTTTACATAGCTTGAGAGTCCTCGGGAAATGTACTTATTCTGTCTTTAATCAAGGTCATCCAGTAAAATCCTCAGACATGGGGTTTTAAATAGAAAATAAAAGGCATTGAGAAAAAAAATTTACATTGTGGAAATGCAGTTTTCTTCGATTTCTTCATCATTTTGATGAGCACCTGATTTCGCCATGTCTTATTTGTGCCGGAACAACATAGGGAGAACTGCTGCTTTTTTCCTTCCTCCTCATTACTGTCGTCATTTTTCTCTACTTCTTTTGCATATTTGTCACTATTGTGAGCTGCTGTTTCTGGGGTGCCTTGATAGTCAAAGCAGACTGTGCTGTTGAGCTGAGGCAAGAGAGGTGAGAAGAGTAAGCCAGATTCCCCGTGTGGACTCCTCTGTTGACATCCACCCCTGGCTCTCATATGAACTTATGCAGTTGTGAGCGCCGTAAAACCTTACTAAAACTAAAGGACAAGGGTGGAGAAGGTGTTTTGGGCCCCTGCTCCAATCCAGATTTGATTTAAAAAATTTAAAACATCTACATGTATTAAAACTTTCTAGTTCTAGCACCTCACATAGGACTTTTAAGGGCGGAATGAAGATAAGTTGGTTTTTTTTGTTCGAAGAAATGAGCCTGATCCTGAACGGGAATCATTTCCCTGTATAGTGTCAAATCCGGTTGCAGCACAAGTCTGAGAACTATAGTATAGTATATAGCAAAGTTTCGAATTCATGAAAGCATGTCAAATACATGTACAATGACTGAAGATTACCGGTACAATGGCTAGCCAGATTGCAGAGTAAAATAATTTTTCAAGCTGGCTGTTCCCTTTTCGGCTTGAGGGTTTTCAAAAAAATGCTCACATTTAATTAGTTGCACAATACAGACGCACGGATTCAACACTTGGCTTGGAGGTTGGGCCTGAGGACTACGTCATAACCGAGTTTCACTGTATACATTTAGCACGCCTAGTTGATGAGAGCCCACGTGTATGTGACTGACCCCAGTCTTTGCGCTGATTACAAGTTGAGGCGTAATTGTAAGTTGGTGTAACTGCAGCTTGTCACACAACGCTGCATTCTATCATCTTGAGTTGTAGCCAACAGGACCAGAACAAGAGTGATCCCGGGGGAGAACCATTAGGTACAGCAGAGCACGATTATAATAACAGCACCTGCTAGAGCGGGATCATCCCTACAACGGGATCTTACCGGAATTCCCCCTTTTTGTCTATATGTAAACTCAATTACCCGACTCAACGGGAGAGATCATGTCAAGCGAGCTCTAGCTGAGGGGGAAGGGGGTTGGGGGGGCTGCAGGCGGGCTCCAAACAGGCAGTCAGCGGTGCAGCGTTGTGATTAGCCTGTCCCCGTGTTTTATGCACCCCGCATAATTTAGCAAAATTTGATAATTTTTTGCAGTTTCTGATTATTTTCCTTTATCATTTTTTATTAAAATTAACAGAATCGCATAATTTTACATTTTTGGGTTCATTTTGCATAATTTCAGAATTTTTCTTGCATAAAACAACGGGGACAGATTGGCCAGTCTAGTGATGAGTGGGGGGGGGGGGGGGTAGGCGGCAGAGAGAGAGAGAGAGAGAGAGAGATGGTGCAGAGAGACGCGTTACGTGAGCTACTCTAAAAGTGATGTGCCGTAGCTTTGACGCTCAGTATGAGTGCGTATACGGTATAGGCCATAGCCCCAGGCTTAGTTTAGTTTTAGTAAGTTTTACGGCACTTGCAACACAAGAAGGTCATATAAGTGTTGAAGAATAGAGTGGTTACAAGAGAGTAATATACACAAAAGAGGAGGAGAGATAAGGACGATAGATGTTTGATAGGAAAGAAGGGGCAAATCACACCAGAGCACCCGCCAACCACCCACGCCCCAGGCTTTGGCTAGACCAAAAAGTAAAAGAAGAGGAGAGCGTGTAGTGTGTGAATCCTGATTCATTGAATTGCGATTGTTGATGCTCATCATCATAGGCATCCGCACATGCACGCATTCACTTCACCAGTTCTACAGTAGGTCTACCGGTACGATAGAGCAAAAGCAACAAAACTGAGGAGAATATGGCTTACAACAAAGACAAAAGGAAATGCTTCTTGCTTGAACTAAAGGCCGACGTAATCAACAAATTTGACACGAAAAGGAAGACTAATCTAAAGTGCAAACTTTATCGATGTAATTAAATGGAAGGGCGGTGATCATGTGGATTTTTATAAATTTTTATGTAATTTCCCCTTTGCACTCCTATTCGGGAACTCGCCTACAGCGGGATTTTTCTTCTGAAACCAAATGTGGCGTCGGTGGCCTAGTGGTTAGGCTCTCGGACTCGCAACCGTAAGGTCGTGGGTTCGAATCCCGCCAGGGGCCCCGACGTTGTGTCCTTGGGAAAGGCACTTTGCACACATTTTCCTCACTTCACCCAGGTGGAAATGGGTACCCGGCTATAGACAGTTAACGATCTTGTCAGTTTGATAGTGTTTGAGCGCGTGAAATCCGCAGCTTGCACTGTATGCTTCCGCGGAAGCCGAGAATGTTTCAGAGTGTTCTCAAAGGGTCTGCTGGGGGTAATAATAGTTGTAAAGCGCATAGAGCATGCTCTTGAGCATGGATATGCGCTATATAAATGCAATTATTATTATGTTCATCTATAGCAGTGTTCTACTGTAAAGCACACCCTCTCGTCCAATTCTATGGGCTCTGTACAGCAGACAATGCCCCCCCTACTGTTCAAGATTAACAGGAGAAGAGTGAACAGGAGAAACTAACCAGAAATCAGTTTCATGAAATAAGGTTTAGATTTTATTTGCGTCTTTACAAAAAAAGAGAAAATAAATCATTTTACACAACAATGTCCCATGGAGACGCATTGATGACATATCTATAAAATCGAAAGTTTTGTGACAAAAGTTAAAGTTCAATGCACAGCTTTTAAAACTCTTATATAAATGTTACTGAAGTTGAACGCCTCAATCCATATAAATGTAAAATGTGGCTGCACCTATATGTGAGGCAGCGTTGTGAAATCAGGCGCTCGTCTAAATAATGAAAGTGAAAAAACTGGCATTTTTCAGTAGGTTTTGTGAATTGTTATCGAATTTTTATATTTTGGCTCTATACTTTTCATGCTCATGAAAGAACTCATTTCGGAGTGGATTTTACTGAAAAACCATTAACGGCATGAAAGATGTAATTTTTAAGTTTCCATGGACTCTCAAGCTAAGGAAATAACTAAACTTTGGCCGCCATTTCCTCACTAATTATACCTCTGAAACCAAGCGACCTCTGCTTCCTTCAATTGCCAAATATCTCGACTTGTATCCAAGACAAATGGACATTTTTTTCCATTAAAAGCAAGGCAAATGGAGGCATCATGAAGATACCTATAACTCCACACCAAAAATTGACGAGCGCCTGATTCCACCATGACATGACACATATCATAATTGAACAAATGTACAACTTAATACAAGAGCTTTTTGCTAAAAGTTGACACCATTGAAAAACAGGGCTACCCACCATTACGAATGTGACAAAATCGTCATGATATAAAACATTTTTATAATTGAAAATATGTCACAACATCCCCTTCCCGTAACTCTAAAAAGACAAGCCCACCGGGACCCTATTTCATCAAGCTTTTGCTTACATTTCATTCATCCTTGAACGTACAAACCCTGTCCATTACATCCCAGGAAAAAAGACTTGCTAGAATTATAATAATACATACAGCACAACACGAACAGCTCAAATTTGTCAGGACTGGCCTCGGTAGTTCAAGGGATATCTTACAAAGATAAAGAAGGAGAGAAAAAAAATACGGGACCGCAGGCAGTTTGACGGATGCACAATTTCGAGTCTTCTGTGTTCGACCTATCCCTGTTATACTGTACGGTATTTAAAGATTGCTAATATTTAATTTGTTGATTACTAATACATATGGTGTTGGGCGGCCAGCCATGGAGAAAGAAAATGGCCAAACATTTAACGTTTTTAGTCCTTAGTGAAAGTGTTAATGTAATAAAAGAAATTTGAACAATTTACTCTACCAGTTTGAGGAAAGCCTGATAAAAGTGTTAATGTCCAGACCTGTTTATCTTTGTTCATCACAAATGGTACACAATATTACTGTACAGCTGCCTCCTTGAATAATTTTCAAAGTTGTAAAGTTTACAACCTTCTATTTACTTCTTGCTTTCCCAAATAAACAGGCACCGTGTACACAATTTTGTTCCTTTACATTTTACTACATGTATCATAGATGATACAGATACAACAGAAGTAGGATAAAAATGACTTTCAGAGTAAATGATTACCGGTACACAGAAGACCCCCACGAGCACAAATGTGAGGCAGGCTGACAAATGAGTCACGTCTTGCAATCCATGAATGGAGATATAAGCCAAAATTGACACACCTGTCAAATTGATTTTCAACTGATGCCTTGTTCTTCTTGTCTTTTATCAATTCATATTAATGAATGGCAAAAACTCAACCTATAAATTTCATGTATCTATGTCTTTAGGGCTAAAATCCAAGAAGTAACTCCTTTTGCTAGCATACCTCAAATATCTGAAAATTTGCAGTTCATACTACTTAAAATCCAGCTTTGATTCTACGTTGATAATTATTTGTATTATTCACCGGAGAGGAGAAAGATGAAGGACCCCCACCCCGGTTTTCATCGCAGTATAAATCGTGCTCCAAGTGAAACTGCTATTTGATGTGCAACATTAATGTAAGTATACCCTATGTACAAAATATTTTACTTCTTCAGGAATAACACATACTATGGTTGAGGCCAATTCTGAACTTTTAAATAATTGGACAAGAGAATTTTTCTAGCTGTTCTGTAAAAAGTTTTCTCTTACAGACAGATTTTTATTTGCGGTTGGTTAAAACAAATGCTTGATTTTTAATCGGAGTCATCAAAAGTTTTCTTTTTTCCTTCCCCTTGGACAATGCCGCCTCGTGCTGGTGAGAAAAAAGAAACAGGATCTTAAATGCAGTGATTAATACAATGCAACAATATCATTTTTTGAGAAAATTTGAAGTAAGACCGACCACTAATAATCCATTTAAATTTTGCATTATGGGCGCCAGCACATTACCTTGAACAGGGAAGTAGGTACACATATTTGTGGTTCACCATCCAACTGATTCATACAATGTCCTAATTTGTACCAACATCACATGCAATATTTCTGTACTTTACTCTTCCGTACTAAAACTAAGTGAACACACTTTGTTGTGTTGTAGAATTTGTACCGACTTATTACTGGTGTTCAATTCAGAAGATCATTTCTGACAGCGAATGTAGCAGGCTAGATATAAAAAAATTTCTTCAACTCTGAAACAATACTACAGCTTGTTCATTTTCGTCGGACTGCGTTAAAAAAATGTCCAGCTCATTTATTATTATTAATCAGTGCTTCCAAAAGCCAAATTTGCTGAAGAAAATTTGAAATTGAAGAGATAAAATTTGGCCTTTCTGAGTCGAAAATTTAAGGGGGGAAAAAATTGAGATTCACACACCAAGAGAAGCCACTAATTAACTTTAACCAAGCCTAAATTGGTAAAAGGAAAAGTATACTTTGTTAGTATAAAGCTCCTCCTGGGGACTATATGACTATGAGTATGTTTCTTTGATTTTACACAAATATGTGAGTGCAAATCTTTAAAGTCAAAACAATTATTTATGGGGGGAAAAAATGCAAAGACCTGAGAAGATTAAACAGAGCGATTTCAGTAAATCTTGTTTTAATCGTGGTCAGAGGAAAGTGAACAGTGAACAGGCTATAGAAGTGGGGGGAGAAAGAAAGAAAAGAATTTAACCCTATCTGTACGTCGCGCTTTACTATCGTATCCATACGACGTGGGGTTCTCTGCCACCACTTTCCAAAGAGGAAATTTACTCCTTTATCCGATCCGCACGTTATGCATAGCGGTCTGTCAAGATGATTATTAGAGAAATACTGAAAGTTACAAAGAGATCTTCGCACTAAAAGTATTCTAAAATGTGAAGAATACAGTCCTGGGGGTAAAAAATGACCCCAGGGCGTACTGATAGGGTTAAAAACTTCAGAAAACCAAACCATGTTTGTGTTGTATTTTACTGCGCTTGCAATTGCATAAGGTCATATGAGCGCGCGGGACACATTAAACATTTTTCGGTTGGTAGAAACTTTTGAATTTTTACACGGGTGGTGGCCGAAGGCTACTCAGATCGATTCTAGACCACCAAGGGATCTATTATGTGCGCAACGTGCACACTGGACCTCCGGGATTTTTCACCCGTGTACGAAAAGGCTAGGTGAAGATCTTTCCAACCAGAAGATCAGGGGTGTGGCTGAAAAACAGCAGTAAGGGGCTAAGGAGCAGCAGTAGAAAGGCTGCAGAAAGAGGAGCCCAGAGGAAGGGTCAAAGGAGGTGAGAGGATGGGGGCAGAAAGAGGAGACGAAAGCAGACGACAGAACATAGCTAGAAAGCAGAAAAGGAGGTGAAAGGAGACAATTTTAGAGAAGAAAATTTCTCTGTCGCTACCTGGATTCGAACCAGAGACCTTTGAATTAGAGGCCAACACCTTAACCTCTAGGCCACGAGAGCCCCTGACCATGAGAACGATCTCCAGGTGGACAGTAAAATGAAAGTAAATAAAGGTGACGACATCTTTACCTTTGTTAAATCCACCACGGCTGCCTCCTCTTCCTCTTCCACGGTCACCTCCACGTCCCCTTCCACGGCCAAATCCGCGACCAAAGTCTGGAAAAAATTTCAAGCAAAAAATAAAAATTCAACAATGGCTTTTAAATAGCTACCCAGTCCCCTTGTACAAACAAAATGAGAGACCAAAGAAAGCTACATAGAGAATTATGTCATTACAACACAGAATGCAGAAGTTACAGATTGGGTAGTAGAGAGGATGAATAGGATAACTATTTAGTGCAGTGTTTGATTGAGTGGGCGGTTTTACAGCACTGTCGACAGATTTGGTCATGCACGCGCAAATTTTTTAAAAAATTTACAGTTGCAAATCTCTAGTTATGTACAAAAAAAGTGGACATATATATATATGTATGTGGGTGTATATACACACACACACACACATAATGACATATTTTGTAAAATATATAAATATATATATATTTATATAGATAGGGGCCGTTCAAATATAATCTTACGCTTGGGTGTGTGTGTGTGTGTGTCTTTGCGTAGTTATGTAGACAAAAGTATATTTGCACACTCACGTTACGTGGACATGCCCCGTTATGTAGACGTCCACAGAATGTTTTAAAGTGACCATCGCATTTTCCGCCAAAAATTTCATCATGTGTTAAAATATTTTTAAATTTGGTTCCGGTCCGAACAACGCTGTTATTTCGTTATTTCTATACACAACGCTATACACATCACTTTTCAAAAAAATGTATTCAGTTTTTACATATTTAAACATTCAGAATTCCTTTCCTTGGTTTTATTAAACAATATATGGTTTAGTAAACTAATATAATCATGCTTAAAAGTCTGCTTTCCCCCCTGACACTGTAAAATAAAACAGTTCTCAATTTACTTTTTTTTTCATAATTAAAAAATAAGGTCACTTTAAATCAGTTGATTAAAATTTTTTTAAAAATCAACTTGATTTTAAAAATAAAACTCAGCGATTTAAATCACTTTTAAGAAATGTATTGTTTTTACATCTTTAAACATTCAGAATTTCTTTCCTTGGTTTTATAAAACAGATATAAGATTTAGTAGATTTAAAAAATCATCATGCTTAAAAGTCTGCTTCCCCCCCTGTAACTGTAAGTAGTAAAATAATACTGAATTCAATTTTTTTTTCCATAATTGAAATTAGAATTTTCTTTTTCTTTTTAGACAAACACAAGCGCGCGCACACACACACTGTAATAAAATGCAAGTTTATCTATGCATAATTACCCCCCCCCCCCCCCCCCATAATTCAGATATAGCAGATTTTTAAAATTGCAGTTGCTTAAATTAATCATTAATTTTAAAAAAGACAATGCATTTTGCTCTAAAAGAACTTACTTTTAGCCAACAAAAATCCCAAACTGTGTCGACATTTTAAAAAAATTCTGATTTAAATATTTAAAATATTGATTTTTAAAATTTTTATTTTAAAAAATCGCCAACCCTGGCTGAAACATAACATATTAAGCGCAACATTTTTCAAAGCTGTTGCACCATTTTTATTGGGATAGGAAAGGATTTTGTAAGGTGTATGAAGAACCCTGCCCCCCCCCCCCCCCCCAAATTGGCAACGGCTCATATACATAAATATATATATGTGAGGCATCGTGGTGAAATCAAGCACTCGTCAATATAGTGAAATCAAAGAAATTGGCATTTTTCTGACTGTTGGGCAATATATTTTTTTTGTTTTGGCTCAATGATATTTTAAAACGTGTTTCTATGTGGATTTTGCTGAAAAATATTGATTAAAGTCAAAAAAATGTCAACTTCCAGTTTCTCTCATGCTATGGAAGTCGCCAAACTTTGGTGGCCATTTTCTCACTAATTTTACTTCTGAAACCAGACAACCCTGACGTCCTCCAATCGCAAATACAGTCAAACCTGTGTAAGACGGCCAGCCATTGTCAAGGAGAAAAGTGGCCGTATAAGACAGGTGGCCGTCCTAGGCAGGACTGATCAAGATGAAGAAAACTAACCATTCCCATCTGAGGCCCCAATCGAAAGTAGCCCTATTGTTGTTGTCTTTGTTGTTGGTGGTGGTGGTTTGTATTTTTTTTTTTTTATTTTAATTTTGTTGCTGATTTTTGCAAGGGTGGCAATAAAACGAAATGTATCAGACAAGGAAGTGACCGAGTGCCATAAACAAACACATGGGTCGCTACCACTCGGAGAACGAGGGACGCTTCTGTAACGAGTTCATGTTGACGTCCTTTGTTACTTTGTTACAGACTGGGTAAACAGTGACCACTCATCTCGCTTACGATTTGTGTGCGAGTTCTGGGCGGGGCTTATGAGGGATCACACGCTTCCCTCACCAGCAGCTGAAAATTGGTAGCTATTGGTCAACAGTGGGAGGGGGCCTATGCAACATGATCGGTTGAAGGGACTACCTAACAACAACGACAGGTGATTGAATTATGACGGCTCGCCCACAACGCCAGGGGCCAATGCACGATTTATGACAAAACGTAATGGAGTCACTAAGGTGGCCGTCTAAGACAGGTGTTATTGATTAGTGTGATAGGGGTTGTGTGTTAAATTATGGTGGGCGCGGCCGCGTTGGACAGGTGCCCGTTTTACAGTTAAATTATATCGAAAAAACGCAAGGGGGAAATGGAAAGTGGCCGTTAGTACAGGTGGCCGTCAGGGCAGGTTTGACTGTATTTCGACTTCTATTCAACACAGATGGATATTTTTCCATCAAAAGCAAGGTAAATGAACAGGCTTTAAGATGATACCAATAACCCCATACACCCAAAAATTGACGAGCGCCTGACTCCACCATGTCAAGCCACATATATATATATATAAAAGTAGTATGTGTCTGCATAAAATTTGTGTTGGATACCACGCAAAAAGGAATTGCTTCCCATTCAAGTAGATATTTGTGCGTGGCATGCATAATTTTCTATTGGATCATAAGAGAACTTTGAGAATGGCAACACTTCAGTCAGTGGCACCGTCAAGCTGTGAAATCTGGCAAGACAACAAAATCCCTGTCACTTCCGCCATACGCACAACCCCTACAACTCCAAATCAAGCTGCACACAGAACTCTAATAAAACCTAGAATTTCATGAAAGCACACCATGTGTTACCTTGCAACCAAAACCCTCCAAACGAAGATAAATTTTAAAGAAGTCTGGCTCTTTGTACGTTTCACAGATTGAATGGGTAAGCTCAATGTTCAAATGGGGGAAAAAGGAGAAGAAAAGATGACACTATAATTATGTGCAAATTTACCTCTGCCTCCACGACCTCCGCCGCCGCCGCCACCACCACCACTTTTCTCGGCTGCAAAGTCAATTCTCACTTGTCTTCCATCGATGGTTTCTCCAGCCATTGTATCATAAGCACTAGCTGCTTCATCAGGGGAACCAAACTCAACAAAAGCGAACCTGAAAGTGCAATATTGTTGACATTATTCATACTTATAACAGGACACCAGATATATATGGAGAGTTCATCCTCGTACTCTTGTAAAAATGTTTTTTTACACTCTTGTAAAAATGTTTTTTTACACTCTTGTAAAAATGTTTTTTTACATTGCTTGTATTCAGACAGTCATGCCCAGCTCTAACACTACGTACCCCAAACCCTCGCCTCTGCGCAGCAAAAAGCGTGTAGGAAGCTAGAAATTTGACAATTTTTAATAGACCATATCTCATCTCCTTTAACACTAATCTTCATCCCGTCAGTTCAACTATTGTTTTTTAGCTAAAATCAAAATCCAAACTATTGTGGACGACACGAAGCAAGATGTTTAGTAAGCTATCTAAAAAAGTTACCGAGATGCTCGGGAACGCATTTTTCACTGCCATTTTAATGCCGGCCTGGGCGACAAAATCGACGGTGCTTCATTTAATTTGGAAGAGGTTGAAATAGGGTTCTACGGTCATTATGACCTACTTTGGCTTTTTTTCCCCTCAATTTTGAAGGCCCACATCTTGGAAACCAGTCATTCTAACATGCTTTGACTTAGAGATACCAATATATGTATTAACATCTCTGGGAAAAACAAAGTTTTCATTGATTTGATCATGCGCTTTGTATTTTACAACACCTCAAACATGGGTGAGTCGCAGTTGAAAAGGTTTCGTTCAAAAACTTTGAAAGACCATATCTCGATCGCTTATTGATGGATTTTGTGAATTCTTTTTATGTTTTATTGAGTAGATTTGAACCCTCAAGGTTTAAAGATCAATATTATTCAAAATATTTTTCACTTGTGGTACCTACTTTTTAATGTGATTTCAAAGTTGCCAAAAATTTATAAAGTCCACGAACATTCAAATGCCTGTCATTTTTTATTTTATTGTCCGATTTCAATAATTCAAACACCAAAGTCCATGGTTTGCATAGTTCTTTATGGTGTTCCAAACATGTTGGATCAAAGCACTTTGAAAATTTGGTTTGTGGTACCTATTAACAGCGGTCTAACAACGTACAAAAATCCCAAAACGAATACAAAGGCAGAGAAAGCAAATGAAGCGAAACACCCACAACAGGTCTGTTGTTTGTTTTAGTAGAGGTTTTACGGCGCTCGCAACTGCATAATGTCATATGAGCGCCAGAAGATTAAAGGTTTTACAAGAGAGTAACAAACATGAAAAAGAAGGAGGGAAGATAAGGACGATAGATTAGACCTGCATGTGAACCTCAACCAGATTGTCTGAAAATTTTGCACCCCGGTGTCATACAAGGAAGGAGCGACCACCCCAACAAACAATAAAGAAGAGACCTAACCCTAACCCAAACACTACCCCAAAAAAGAACCTACACCGGCCCTCATGTAAAAAGGCCAGCACAAGTCCAAAATGGGGGAAAAAAAACAAAACCAAAAAAAAAAAACTCCCCACACACTCCAAAACAAAAAAGGAGCATAATCTGGCGTACATTGCTATAAATAGGGTTTGATACAATAACACAATAGAATTGGAAAATGAATCCTCCAAATAGATCTAAATCTAGTAATCTAAATAGATCTAGATCTACTAGTAAAACAAGTGAATAGGAATAGGCCTTGGACGAGAAATCCGCATCCGATTCCAAGCAGAGGGAGTCTAGATAGAAATAATTCACGCACTTGATGAAATGCTTTTTACCAACATTAATATTACAGCACTACTTATGATAGGGTTTGAAACAATAGAATTGGAATATATATGAATCCTCCATTCAGGTCAATGATGATCTATAAATCTGGATCTAGATCTAGTAGAACGAGTGAGTCGGACTTGAATGAATCCACATGATCTGAACAATCAGTCAACAAACGAAATTCAAAATGGCCGCTCGAGAAGGAAACTGATGAAAGTAGATAATTTAGGTCGTTGTCCTTTTTCGCATTCATATTTCTACTCAGGTTCCGACAAATATGTCGGAAACACCGACATCGGCACGAAATCGAAAGTGCCGACAGCCGACGTCGGCGTTTCCGACATAATTGTCGGAACCTGAGTAGAAATACGAATGTGAAAAAGGAATACAGGCAAAGTTTACCTTGAACGACATTTTCAAAGCCTTGGGGGGCTTTACGGGGAGAACCAAAGAAAATTGTGAAGAATGAAATCAGAATGCACTGCCCCAGGTATTTGCTCTTGTTGCATGTAACACCCCCCCCCCCAAAAGTTCCATTTCTGAACCATTCAAACATGTTGCCTTTGATTGATACAAATTGAACAGAAATACCCAGTACAAACTGAACGTTACGATGAATTTTTAATTTACCAACTCCATGACATGCTAAAAGATAGCTGTACATCAAACATTTAACTTCCCATGCATCAGAGAATTCAACAGAAAAATTCAGTCTGGGTTTTAATCTTAGGAAGTAAATGCAACGGTAGATCACTTACCCTTTCGATTTACCAGAATCTGGGAATGTGGGTATCCGTGCAGATAAAGCACCTTCAAACACACCTCTCAGAGAGGACTCATCTGTGTCATAGCTTAAATTCTTGATAAACAATACCTTCGTCTCACCACGTGCACCTGTGTGTGAAACACAAAAAAACCAGGAACAACATGAGTAACATTTCAAGCCAGACTTTCTCCACATATAGCAGTCAAATATGTCACCATAATAATGGAAAAATTTCCAGCGTTCAGAGCTTTCCAGCAGCTGATGTCGTTTTTCGAGGATTTTTGGGTCCAGGGCTCCGCCCTGGCAGGGGGTTGAAGGGGGACAGCGTCCCCTCTGTTTGAGAATTTTTGGTTTCAGAGCATCTTAAGTATGCCATTTCTGGCTATTCAAGCCTAAATTTAATAGAAAATAAGTGAGAAATAAAACACACTTTGCATAGGGCTACATAATTTTCTGCTTGTGTTAATCCATAGCCATGCTTTCTCCCTTGTACAGATACTGTACATCCACAACTAGAGAGATCTAGATTTATAAAACTTGACAGTTGTTGTTCAACCTTTTTCTGCTAGTGTTGGTTTGCACCATAATCATCATAAGGTGTAGAATCCTTATAATAATAGTATAACAGCTTGACTTGATCTAGATCTAGAATCTCTAGATTCTAGTCTAGACTAGATCTAAATAACGTGACAGCTTATTTAACTTAAATCTACAACAAAAAAACTTACAAATAAACAAGTCTGGTAAAAAAAATAAAGTTCTCTTTTGAGTTTTCTTTTCTTGGCAGGCCCAAGATCTATTGAATCACAATCGTCATTTCTTCCTCTTGTTTACAGAGCTGGTGCTGTGCTTCTTGAGCTTTAGAAAGTGAAAGCAGAAGACACTGTCTACACTCAAATAAAAGAGCACTTCCGGAATGGGTTGGTTATTGTTGACTATTGGTAATAACGGAAATTTGTTATTTCGCATTTGAAAAAAAAATTTTTTTGTGGGGGGGGCACGAATTTTCACGGAAATTTTTACTTTTGCGGAATTCTGCTAATTTGCGGAAATCCGCAAAATTGCAGAAGACTGGAAGCCCTGAGCATTACAGTGAACAACTTTCATGTATCTTGAGGATAATTTTGGAAAGCCTTGCCTTCAATCTGGAGAGAACAGAAAAAAAATATAGGAACCTTTTTAAATAAACCTGAAGTCAGGGCAGACTGGTAAGTGGGCTCAGAAAAAATTGCCCGACATGAGAATGCAGGGGAGAACATAGCTGCCGCTCATTTTGACCAAATCAACTACTTTTTGCAGAATTACCTGAATTTGAATGTCTGTCATTAAAACTTCTGTCTCCAAAACCCCGACCTCCTCGTCTGTCTCCTCTCCCGCCTCTGTCTCCTCGGTTTGCCTTAAAGTTACTCTTGCTCCCCATGTAGTCTAAGTACAGTGATCTTCCGCTTAATTTGGCGCCTTGTTTCTCCGTCATTGCTTCCTCCATGGCACTTGCATCAGAAAACTCAACAAATGCAAACCTGTGACAAGACATGAACATGAGCACATCATTAGAAAAATGTTCCAATGTCTCTGGTGAATTCACAAAAATACAATACTAAAAAGGGATTTTTGAGAAAATTAAAATATCACTTGGAACAGGTACAGATGTGAGAAAAGCAAAAAAACTCCAGGTAGTTAAAAATTTCGTTTTAAAAAATTGTGCATCTTTCTTTTATAACTTGACAACCTGCACAGATTTAAGATTTCTCACGGTAAAAGATATGATACTCGTAGTCAGTTTAAAGCATTATAAAATAAACAATCATTTATTCATAACTATGTAACTCAAATAGACAAATTGGATAATCTAAAAACATTGTCTAGTCAGAGCAAAAACTAACGCACATAAATAAACCATCCTAACCAGAATAAATCTCAAGACATTGAGCTTTTAGTAAATCAGTGTAATGGTTTGTTGTGTTTGATGGGGAAGAAGTAATATTGTTTCACAAACGTAGGCAAAAACGCAAACTTCTTAACGGGAGGAGCTACCCTTAAGTACAGTCAAACCTGTGTAAGACGGGCCACCCATTGTCAAGGAGAAAAGTGGCCAGTCTTGAACAGAAAGCTACAATATTGTTATAATTTACTATCACCCAACCAATGAAACGCGAACACTTTATTTCAATAACACGGCATACAAGGTATCAAGGATCCCGATTGCACACAAGGCCTGCACCAACACGCGCTTTGCAGACGGTTCTAAATCTGATCAAAATTCTGAAATTAGCTTACATGGTTTTTTTCTCTGGTGTTGCCTTCAGCCCCTCCCCGCCTCCCCCGAGTGTATCTCTAACAAACAGAAATCTATAATCCCTGCCCTATTCCGTAGTCGGAGTACTAGTCCTATACCAGAGCATTGGTCCTATACTTCACAACGCTCAGACTTTTTAATGAACTTTGGCGACCCCAACAAACGTCGGTGCTCACTGATGCCGTATCTTGCGGTGCCTCGCGCGAAGGTTCAGTGACCGGTCACGATGGCAAAACCGACAATCTAAAAATTGGACAACGCTTGTATTTTCTTTTCACCCCCCCCCCCACCTCTTTCAAGCACACATACAACCTTGGTGGGTGGTTGGCGGGTGCTCTGGTGTGGTTTGCTTCTTTTTTCCACACACAAGTGACAGCACGGTGAAGAGTCCGAGTAATGATAAAATTTTATTTGCACAGCGACACAGCGTTTATACTGTACAACCTGCATATCACAAAGGTTGTGTTATCAGTTTATTGTCGCCAAATTTCTGTGTGGTAACAAAAGCGAAAGATCTTAATTTTCCCGATTGAGCCTCGGTGTCACATACACTTCCACCTGCTGCCATAGCCGGCTTTTCGCGTGAAACGTACTCTCGGACGGGGAAAAGGTGAACAATAATACAATCACGACCGGCAAAAACGGAGTCATGTACTGCAGCTAGGGTTCACTGAAAAGTCTTGCTGGCTTCATCACTCGGTATGCAGGCTAATTTACAACCATTTACCAAATTTGTACTACCTTCAAGGCAAATTTACTACCATTTAAGACCGTTACAACCCTTTTTACTGGACACCCTGCCATCACACCTTGTTCCCCATCAGATGCTGGGAGTGTCCAGTATTAGTGACAACTGTTCCGTTTTATTTAGTGCTAGTTTTTCGGAACTATTCCCGAGTAAGTTTTTTAGTAATGACTAAGCCTTTGTTTCTGCTATTTAGAAGTTGGAGACAGGCTTTTGGTTTATAATGAGACACAGTGCACTAGGTTTAGGTGACTGTACAAAAAAAACACTGGGAAGCCTGAAAAAAACTGTTAGTACTCAGTATCCTCCCGTTGCCATTTTTCATTTGTGGTGGGGGGGGGGGGGGTCGCCGCACAGGCACACTGCCTTTTAGACCTGCATGTGAGCCTCAACCAGATTGTCTGAAAATTTTGCGCAACCCCCCCCCCCCCCCCCAAAAAAAAGCCTTTGTGGGTGTCATAAGGAAGGACATCCGAGTAACGAGCGACCACCCCAAAAAACACAATAAAAAAGAGACCTAACCCTAACCCTACCCCGAAAAGAACCTGCAACGGGCCTCATGTAAAAAGGCCAAAACAAGTCCTAAATGAAAAAAAAAAATTAAATTAAAAAACCACACCCTAAAACAAACAATAAGCATATAAAATCTAGATCTAGATCCTAGATCTATATATGGCTTACATCTACATTGCTATAGGGTTTGATACAATAACACAATAGAATTGGAATATGAATCCTCCATATAGATCTAGATCTAGTAATCTAAATAAATCTAGATCTAGATCTAGTAGAACAAGTGAATAGGAATAGGCCTTGAACTCGAAATCCGCATCCAATCCCGAACAGAGGGACTCAGCTGAGTCTAGATCTAGATCTAGATTCTAGATCTAGAGATCTAAATAAAAATAAATAATTCACGCACCTGATGAATTGCTTATTTTTACCAATATTAATATTACAGCACAACCTATGATAGGGTTTGACACAATAGAATTGGGATATGAATCCTCCATTGAGGTCTATAATGATCTATATAAATCTAGATCTAGATTCTATTAGAACAAGAGAGTCGGACTTGATGAATGAATCAACACGATCTAAACAATTGAATTAGTCAACAAACAAAATTAAAAATGGCCGCTCGAGCACGAAACTGAAAGTAGATAATTTAGGTTGTCGTCCTTTTTCGTATTCGCATTTCTACTTAGGTTCCGACAATTATGTCGGAAACGCCGACGTCGGCAGTCAGCGGTGCACGCGTCGGCGGTCGGCACGAAAACGAAAGTGCCGACGGGAGAAAAAGGGGTCGCTGGCAGTCGGCCAGGCCTCGCACTACGCACATTGACTGATACAGGCGGGCCTAGCGATAGCATCGGCCGGTTCGCGATTGTCGGATTTCAGACGATTGTCGGCAAACATGCAGGTCTAGCCTTTGCATACAAAAATCTTGGGTCCGAAAGAAATTTCCCTGCATTTTAAAGAATGGACAAACAAGGACTCCAAAACAATGAGGAAAATATTCGGACTACAGAATCAGTTTGTGCTCAAAATCTTTTCTTTGTGTTTGCGAAAAGTGTCCAAATTCATACCGCTGGCTCAAATAATAAATCTGAAAAACAGTAAAGGTGATTCTTATGGTAAGAGAATACAACAAAAATTTGATGAACTAAACACATGTTAAATCTCGTGTCCAGTCTTATAAAAGAAGCAACTTAGGACGAATCAAGATAAAACTTCATTACACACCCTTTCGGATAGCCATCTTTCTGGGGAATTCGGATATCTGAAGCTGATTCAAAAACAGTTCCAAGGGAATCTTGTGTGACATCATCTGGCAATCCTTTAACAAACAAAGTACGTGAATCTCTGTCATCTGAAAAAGAAAATAGCCCAAAAACATTTGTGAAAATACAACAGTCATAGAGTTACCTATATCAATTCCTTCATGGTTTGGTTTAACTTGAATTTGCTTCAAGAATATGCCCTTATTTCAGTAATTTAAAAATTCTGACAACTGGAACCTTTCTCCAGGCACACACATACATTTTTTGCCTTTATCATACTAATAAAAATATTTTGCAAAAGAATCATACGGGTTGCACCCCACAGTCAACAGGGTGCAATTTGTTGCGAGGATTTGGGGGTCGATTTTTCACTAGACCAGACCTTCAGTCGACAGATGGATGTACAGAAGACAGCAAGAACAGACAAAGATGACACCCGTTAGTCAGAGAACTAGTGACATACAAGTCGCATCTGTACATGGGACAGCCGACCATTTTTATTATATTTCCCAGTCAGGTCGGGGAAGAAAGAAAAAAGATACACTTAAATAAATGCCGCCTATGCGCACTCGAGTGTAGATGTTTATGGGTATCTTTTCACCACTGGAGGGGTCGCACCACCTGCTGGCGGAGCAGTGGATTCTTTTATTAGCCCCCAACCCAAGAGGGGAGCTTACCTTCATTTCCTCCAAAGGAACTATTAAATGATTTGTTGCCTCCAAATTGTTGCTGGTCATTTCTGGGTTGTCTTGGTTTAGCTTTATCCACTGTGATGTCAGACCCATTGTAGGATGACCCACTCAAGGCTAATGCCTTGTCCAAGTCATTTGAATCTTGCAGGTCCACAAATGCATTCCTGCAGGGAAAAAGGATAACGAAATGCAAGTTTAGTTTTAATAGATGGTCTTACGGCGCTCGCAACTGCATAAGGTCATATGAGCGCCAGAAGATTGAGGTGTTACAAGAGAGTAACAAACAAAAAAAAAAAAAAAGAAGGGGAGATAAGGACGATAGATACAAAATGCAAGAAAATAAAACAGTTAATAATCTTACAAATATTACAATCACCTGTACAGAAATTAATGTGCTTTATCAATACTGGAAAATAGCTTTTTAAAGCAGTATTTGGTACATAATGATCTAGTTAAAACTCAATGCCTCAGAGGTACAAATGTATACAGTTAAACCTGTGTAAGACGGAATCGCAAGGGAGCCTGAAAAAAAATTCCGTCTTAGACAGGGGAATTTGAGGTGGAGGTGGGGGGGGGAGTTCAAAGGCCCAGCCTGTGGGATCAGGGATCTCTTGTCTGATCGGCAAGCAGTGGTCTAAACTTCACACCTCTCAGCTGCTATCCTGTCTGATAATGACATGCGTCAGTCTTCTTTATTCAATTACCACCAGTGCTTGCCTTTCATAGGACCACTGTTTGACCTATTAAAAACAGAAATGTTTAAACATCCCCTTTGTTTCCACCCTTAGCCCCACCCATCGGTGTAACAAGCACATTCAACCCATGCCACCCCTCACTGCCATCATGTAACAACTTTTCTCGGCTGGTCGTACGATCAGGGCGGCAGGCCTTGGTCAATCAAATTTCACACCTCTGGCTTATGGCTACCCAGGAAAGTTTCCGTAGTGGCTCGCTACTCGAGCACTCTCACGGGCAGTCGTGAGATTTACACCCACACTACCCTGACCATCTGCATCGCTCAGGGCTTACATGATGGGATAACATCTACCCCCAAATTGCACCCGTACTCCCCTTCATCGCCCAGCGGCATGGCCATGGCGTTCCAACTTGCTAGTTTTGTTTGAAATCAGGGCTGAGCGAGTAAAGCTTTTTTCGTCTTAGACTAGACAGGTGAAACCCTCGGAAAGGAGTGGATTTTTCTTTCCGTTTCCGCGTTGGACAGGTTTCCGTTTAATACAGGTAATTAAAGAGGAATATATCAGAGGGGAGATTCTGTTAAGAAAGGTTTCTGTTTTACACAGGTTTCCGTTAAGGCAGGTTCAACTGTAATTAACATGCCCATCAACATGTCATAATTTTGTAAAACCATTAACAGATCAAAAGAAAGACTTCTAATCATATATCACCTTTTCTTGGGAGGTTTACGCACTGATGACACTTCAATCCCGTTTTCAGATAGGAATTCCTGAACTTCTTCCTCTGTAGAATCAGCTGCTAAACCTCCAATAAATAGAGTTATTGTTTCTTCGACATCTGTCTGTGAATCTGGGAAATAAAACAAAAAATACCATGTTACAAATTGAATATATACATATAAATACATGCCTATAACATGACCTCAAATATAATATGGATTATGGATATGTGTTTACAATTTGACTCTAAAATAAGCTCATAATTTGGGTAGTCATGAGTATAATACAGGGTAATTTTTTAGTTTTACGGCCCTCGCAACTGCATAAGTTCATATGAGCACCAAGGGGTGGATGTCAACAGAGAAGTACTTACAGGGAATCAGACTTACTCTGCTCACCTCTCTAGATTCACCAGCACAAAGTCTGCTTCGACTATCAAGGTACCCCGGAAAAAGCGGGTCACAAGAATGTGACATACAAAAGTAGAGGTTTAGCTATAACTAAATTTGCCTTGGTGCCTCTGCAATTTGCCATAATGCCTTTCAAATAAAAGGGCACAACCACGGCAATTTTTGCTGTGCCCTTGATTATTTTTTTAATGTAACGCCTTGAAAATAAACCTCAATTTTGTCCTGTGCTGTCATTGTCACTAGTGAAAAAACAAAAGAGAAAAGAAAGTTATAAAAGCGTCTTGTCGAGTTTGCCACCGTGACTGGTCAGTGAACTTGCACGCATGCAACACAACTTAGTACAAGATGGGACCCAGTGAGCATGGGGGTTGTTGGGGTCGTCAAAATTCATTCAAAGTGTGAACGCAGCGAAGTACGGGACTCCGGAATGGGGGAAATTATTGATGGGGGTTATTTTTAGGGAGGGAGGTTGATTAATTGAGTAGATGTTTTACAGCACTATCGACACAATTTTGGTCATTTAAACGCCAACAAGTTTCACAGCAACAAAATCAGACGTGTTTTTAGTATGAGATGGTCAATAGCAGAGCGATTTTTGCTAAAACCGCATAGAAAATTGGATAAGGAGTTTGAGGTTTCGAGAAACCACATTAGACATTTGTTAATAAGTTTTCCCATAAGTTTGCAGAAACAGTTTGTAAGTGCTATGGGACAATAGTTTGATGGGTTAGAGTGATCTTTTCCTGGTTTTCGGATTGGTATAATAGTGGCAACTGTTCGGAAATTGTTGAGAATGCCAGAGTTCACTGTAAATATCAAGGAGTAATAGGAGTTAGATCTGCATGTGAGCCTCAACCAGATTGTCTGAAAATTTAGCGCACCCCCCCCCCAAAGCCTTTGTAGGTGTCATAAGGAAGGACATCCGAGTAACAAGCGACCACCCCAACAAACACAATAAAGAAGAGACCTCTAACCCTACCCCCAAAAAGAACCTGCAACGGGCCTCATGTAAAAAGGCCAAAACAAGTCCTAAATGAAAACAAATAATTTTAAATTAAAAAACCAGTCCAAAACAAACAAGGAGCATATAGATCTAGATTCTAGACCTACATGGCTTACATCTACATTGCTATAGGGTTTGATACAACAACACAATACAATTGGAAATATGAATCCTCCATATAGATCTAAAATCTAAATAAATCTAGATCTAGATCTTGTAGAACAAGTGAATAGGAATAGGCCTTGAACTAGAAATCCGCATCCGATTCCGAACAGAGGGACTCAGCTGAGTCTAGATTCTAGATCTAGATCTATATCTAGAATATAGATCTAAATAAATACATAATTCACGCACCTGGTGAAATGCTTATTTTTACCAATATTAATATTACAGCACAACCTATGATAGGGTTTGACACAATAGAATTGGAATATGAATCCTCTATTGAGGTCTATAATGATCTATATAAACCTAGATCTAGACTCTAGATTGTATTAGAACAAGAGAGTCGGACTTGAATGAATCCACACGATCTGAACAATTGAATTAGTCAACAAACGAAATTCAAAACGAAGTGTATACAGACCCGGTAACCGGGAACCAAGTCACGAAGTATACAGACCCGGTAGGGGAACTCTTTTGTGATTTCGGAAAGTTTCAGCGCCCAGACCCGGTCGTGTGTGTGTGTGTGTACCAGAGGAATCTTTAAAATTCGTCGGAAATAGCGTAACACATAATTTACTGTCACCTATCCAATGAAACGCCAACACTTAGGCCCCTGCCCTAAGTTCATTAACACGCTTACAAGTAGTTATGACGGATCCCGATTATACACAAGGCATGCACAAACGCGCACTTTACTTTGCAGAGAGCTGTAGCAGATCTAGTAATCAAATTTCTAAATATTAAAATTTGCTTCCAATTTCTGTTCTTTTTTTTTTTGTCCTCTGGTGTTGCGTCCAGCCCTCCCCCCCCCACCCCGGAGTGTATCTTTTTAAAAAAATCAATAATCTCCCCCCATTCCGGAGTCCCGTACTTCACAGCGCTCAGAACGCGCGCAGGTTCATTGACCGGTCACAATTACGAGCCCGACAAAACGCTTGTATAACTTTCTTTTCTTTTTTGCCCCCACAAGCGACAGCACAGTGACCAACATTATTTTCATGGCGACACCACGTTTGTAATGCAGAACCTGCATGTCACAAATGTTGCGCATTCAGACTTTTAACTAACAAATTTCTGAGATCTTGATTTTCCGGTCGAGCCTCGGAGTCACATACAATTCCGCTTGCCGCCATTGCCGCTTGTTCGCGTGAAACATACTCTCCTCACACCAGGAAAAGCAGAATTAACATCACAATCGCGACCGGCAAAAATTAACTTAAAGACGTTATCGGATTTGGTTTTCAAATAATATTCGAGATCTTTTATGTATTTTCCCGCGTCTCAGCGATTTTTTTCCCTTCAAATTCCCGGGTAATTCCTGAGGCCTGGCAGTCACTCTGCTCCCAGCAACTCTCTTTCTGATTGACCCGCTTTCGCAGTAGCGGAGTTTAGCTGAGGACATGGCGGTAGCGGAAATCCGCTAAATAGCAGAATATTGAGACCCATGCATTATATAGTAAACAGCAAGAATCCTTTAAAATTTGCTCCACCTACCATTAAGTTTCTGTTTTTTTGCTGCTGGCTTAGCTTTCTCGGCTGGCTGGTCCTCATCATCACTGCCTTCCTCATCATCACTGTCTTCCTCCTCATCCTCGTCATCACTATCTTCATCTGTTAAAAATGACAACAAAACTCTCAATCATACACTAAATTTCGACATTTCAAAAAATAAAATAAAGTCTAAACAAATTGTTCAAGATGGCCACCCACTGCCCAGGAGAAAAGTGGCTGTCTTGGATAAGTGAATGGCTGGGGCAGGACACATGAAATTAAATAAACATTCCATGTCCCTTCTCAGGCCCCAACTGGAAATGATCCCTGACTTAGGGCTGCCTTTACATTATAAGGCCCATTATAAAGTGGGGTTTTTCTGTTTGAGTTAGGGCAGAAAGACGAGTCAGTTTCAATGCCTGTATCAATGCATGTCGCTTGGTATGTGTTTGAATATCTTTATGTCTCTCCGACCGTGCGTGCCCTTCTGTGTCGGTATTGTTTGTTCTGGTAAGCATTTTATGGCACTTTCAACACAAATACGCCACATAAGTGACAAAGATTAGAGGTATTGCAAGAGAGTAACAAAGATGAAAAAAAAGGAGAGATAAGGGTGATAGACGTTTGATAAGAAAAAAAGTGCAAACCACACAAGAGCTCTCACCAACCACCCACATGTCTATATTTGGCTGCATATCAGCATCCGTACATCTGTGTATGTGGATTTCAATATGTGTCAGGACGAGGTAGAATCAGGCGCTCATCATTGGGAATCTGGGGTTATTGGTATCATCTTAAAGCTTGTTCATTTGACCAATACATCCATATCTTAAATAGAAATCAAGATACTTGCTATTGAAAGAGGTCCAGGTTGCCTGTGTTCAATGAAGACATAGCATCTGCGTTTGTCGCAGCCACGACCCGCGAATTGCGGCTTCGGGCAATTTTTTGGTCCGTGAATCGAGATGTGATTTTTTTTTCATTTTTTCCAAAAAAATGTATAAAATAACAGCCGGGGAATTTTTAAAAATCGAGAAAAAAACAACTATGGGTGGAATAGAAATTGACAACTTTATAAGGTATCCATGTATGGTCATTTTCATGTGAAGAATATAAGTACAATACACACTGTTTATATTGCTGTTTCTCTAATTTGTACCCCTTTGTTGTGTTTCGATTTGTTGGTGTGTAATTTTTTTTCATTTTTCTGATGCTCTTTTTCTATTATTTATTTAGTGTAATGTCATTTAATTTGATGTCCCTACCTTTTCAAAAATATTAATGTGTTATGTCAGAGCGTGTCTCCACCACAACCGAACACTGACACTGTTAGGCCCCTTTGGGATTCTATAATTTACATGTTTAGGGTTAAAACAGCCAATATTCAGATAGGTGGACACACGCCCTTATTTGTTCATTATTGTTGTCATGTATGTGTTGTTCTAATTTTGATTTCATTCTGTTGTGAAACCTTTATTTTTCACGTTTTTACACTGCTTAGCTACAAATGATTTTCTGGACGCTTAAAACAGCACAAGAAATTCTAGTGCTTTAAATTATCAAAATATTGCTCTATACGTCGTCACAGAGACTTGAAAATTAATGGTAACTTTTGCCAATTTCTGTGGCAAAAAAAAGGGCAACAAACGCAGACGCTAGATTAGTGAGAAAAGTGCCGCCAAAGTCTGGTGATATCCAAAGCTTAAGAATCCCTGGAAACTGAAAATTTACATTTGTTGTGCCTTTAACCCTTACACTGCCACATATTTTTTACCTATATTGGTCTGTACTGACCAATTCTCTAAACCTAGACAGATCTGAGAAAGTATTGCTCTCATACCAGTTTTTTTCCTTCATTTACAATTTAGCTTTCTAGATAAATAAAGATTTCCCAGCGGAGCAAAAACCTGAATGAATGAATGAAGGAAAGGTGAGAGGGAAATTACTTATGGTGAGTAGCCAGATATTAGCCGGTTTGCACATGAAAATCTATTGCTGATCGAACAGCACAAAGAGAGACAAATGGCACAGTGTGCGAAATGCGCAATCTGGCAGCTTAGCTTCTTATACAACTTATTGCTGAGGGTTACCGTAAATATCCATGAAGCTACAGAGGCAAACGATCTTTTGCAATTAAATGCCGATAAGCCTAAACTGTCTCTCTTTTTCAATAACACATGGAGTTAATGTGATTCGGCATGAAACATACTCTCATACTGGGGAAAGCCGAACGAATAGCAAAAATGAACCTACCATAGCTGCCACTCAGGAATTTTAAAAAAGGAGGAAATTCACGCGAAGGCGTACGCGCGCTCTCCGAAGGCCGGAGTAAAACCAGTGAGATCCAGAGGCAATCTATACTGGAAAATCTAGCTTACGGTTTTGGAAGGGAAAACTGTCATATTGTTAACCATAGGCGACTGAATTAAAAATGTATTTGAAAAAAACAACAACAACAAAACCAAAAAGGCACCAAGTTGATCAACAAGCATTCGAGTCAATTTGACAGTTTGGACTTGGTGACTAAAAATCCAGTGTTTTTTTGCAATCTGGTGTCTCATAAAAAGATTTTTCACTTTAAAATTGTAGCCTACATCGATGTAGAGCAGTATCGGATCAAGGAGGTAGGCACTCCTGTACAATAATGCGGTCCCGTTTGCACTCAGTGCCCCTGTAGTGTGTTTCTTATTTAGAGATCTAAACTGAATTAAAATTATAGCCTAGGCTATCTAATCTAGGTCTAAAATCTAGATATCTAAATATGTGTAGACCTAGATTATATCTAGAGATAGATTATCTAGATCTAGATTCACTTCCACAACCACAATAGCCGTCATGTAAACAAACTGGATCGCAATTGTACAGGAATGCCGCGGGCCGCGATTTATTTCGCACCAAACGCAAAGTGCAGCAAGCGGCTAGTTCAATTTTCTAATGAACTTTTCAAATCGCACACCAGCTGCTTCTTTTTCATTCCAGCTCCTATTTTTGCATTCTGCATCAATTTCTCTCGAATTTCCGCCATTTTCAATGACAACTCGGCGCGCCAACGTCCCGATGCCCGATCGACACTATGTTGCTCCACAACAATAAACAATGTGAAACTAGCGCTGAGCCTAGAAGAACGGAAGTAGAAAGATACGGGCGGACATGCGCAAGCCGGGTTTTCGTCTCTCTCCCGGTTCGGTGTTCTCCGCGGGTTAAAAAAAAGTATCAAAATTTGCGACAGAGAGCGGCCCAGCGGAGGAAGGAGGAAAGTAGCGGGACAAGCTAGATGTAGCAGAGTTTCCGCTATTTAGCGGGAAAGTGGCAGCTATGACCTACTGACCATATATGATTTAGTTTTTAATTATCTGAGAACTTTATATATTCTCCTGGGGCAATTTACAGATTTCCTCGAATTCTCTGGTCTCTGATTTTTTTTTCAAATTCCCAGGGCACCAGGGATCTGTCAGTCACCCTGATCATAAGAGACTGTGCTATGGGATTCATTACAAGCCTGCTATAGCCAAGATCCTGTTAGATGTACAACCACCATTTTTACAGACATGACAGAACTAAACATCTCCAATAGGACCAACAACAAAAAAACCCAACAGAAAGGCAATCTTTTATAGTTTTTCAGAAATCTTTTTTTAAAGTGCTAAAATTTGATGCTTGCCAAATTTTCTCGTAATGTCTTGTGTAAAAAAAATTTTTTAAATCAATCGTGAGTCTTTTGTGTTTCTAAACGAATAAAAGGTTTACTCATGAATAGGCAGGTAATTTATTGCTAATCCTTATGCAGACCTGCCACTCTATGAAATCTAAAAATCACGATTTCTGAGTTAAAAAATCAGGATCAACGGCAAATCAGTCATAAAGGGCACTGGGGAAGGCGGAAAGGGGGAGGGGGTGTCCTGGATCCCTTTTAAGAGGCAAGTATGCAAGGCAAAACTTTTGCAGGAATAAGTTCACGTTTGGACCTCTAAATTAAGGGAAAACTGAAAGACAGCATATATTAGACCTGCATGTGAGCCTCAACCAGATTGTCTGAAAATTTTGCGCACCCCCCCCCCCCCCCCCCGAAAGCCTTTGTGGGTGTCATAAGGAAGGACATCCGAGTAACGAGCGACCACCCCAACAAACACAATAAAGAAGAGACCTAACACTACCCCCCAAAAAGAACCTGCAACGGGCCTCATGTAAAAAGGCCAAAACAAGTCCTAAATGAAAAAACATTTTTAATTAAAAGACAACACTCCAAAACAAACAAGGATCATATAGATCTAGATCTAGATTCTAGATCTATATGGCTTACATCTACATTGCTATAGGGTTTGATACAATAACACAATAGAATTGGAATATGAATCCTCCATATAGATCTAGTAATCTAAATAAATCTAGATCTAGATCTTGTAGAACAAGTGAATAGGAATAGGCCTTGAACTAGAAATCCGCATCCGATTCCGAACAGAGGGACTCAGCTGAGTCTAGATTCTAGATCTAAATAAATAAATAATTCACACACCTGATGAAATGTTTATTTTTACCAATATTAATATTACAGCACAACCTATGATAGGGTTTGACACAATAGAATTGGAATATGAATCCTCCATTGAGGTCTATAATGATCTATATAAATCTAGATCTAGATTCTATTAGAAAAAGAGAGTCGGACATGAATGAATCCACACGATCTGAACAATTAAATTAGTCAACAAACGAAATTCAAAATGGCCGCTCGAGCACGAAACTGAAAGTAGATAATTTACGTTGTCCTTTTTCGTATTCGCATTTCTACTTAGGTTCCGACAATTATGTCGGAAACGCCGAAGTCGGCAGTGCGCGCGTCGGGAGAAAAAGGGGTCGCTTGCAGTCGGCCAGGCCTCGCACTACGCACATTGACTGATACAGGCGTAGCAGGCGATAGCATTGGCCGGTTCGCGATTGTCGGATTTCAGACAATTGTCGGCAAACATGCAGGTCTAATATATGTACTCGAGTCGAAGTTGGATAGACTGGGGGGAGCGAAGGTCGCAGTGATGCTGAAACACTCGTAGTCTTGAAAATATCTCACGTAACATGCAAAACGCCCGCGTTTTAACGTTTGATTTCCATCACATCGAAAAAAAGATCGCGCCAAGGTTGTTGTTTTTTTCTTCTTTCTTATTTCTTTCCCCTTAATTAGTACCTGTATCACGGCACGCACTTAGAGCTCGAGTGTCAAAACAATACCCCCACCCCCTCCCCACTGGTCAAGTCCCGAAAAACACCTCGACCAACGCGACCGGTGTGAATGAACTTTGTCGACCCCGACAACGGACGGTCCCCGACACACGCGCTACTCACCACGCGTACGGAGTCATGTCATGTGATGCGAATGAGCGTTTGAAACTAGGTCGATTTTAGTCTAAATAACGTGCGTTACTCATCTACTAAATCTAGATTCGGCATAGATGCTTTAGAAAATAGCGTTCCAAGTTCCTGCAGATAAAAAGTCCAGTCGGTGTTTCCAAGCAAAAGAGATTGCGGAACTTTTTATATTTTTTTCTAAGAATCGGACGCAACAGATGCAACCACAAAAAATCAGGATACTGGCGATCGAAATCGGGAAAATCGGGATGCTTGAGATTTGGGGCAAAAAAATCGGGATGAGTGGCAGGTCTGCTTATGTATTAGCTGAGTAATCCACTTCAATAAGAAGAAAAAATAAGGCTCAAGACAAAGTCAGAATATTGCATTTGAAAGCCTAGTCTAGATCTAGTACATTCTCTATCAGAATCAGTGCTTTGATGCTCATTTACATTGAAACCAGGAGACCCATGGTCTGAAATTTTCAGAATGTTCAGAATTGTCAGTCAGTCGTCAAACATTTGAAAAATGTTTGCTTTTCGTGCTGAAAAGTGGGTGGTTGGCAGGTGCTCTCTCTTCCTGATCTCTCCTTCCGTTTTAGGGTTTGTTAATCTCTTGTAACACCTTATCTTCAGCACTTACATGACCTGAGTGTGTTGCAAGAGCCGCAAAACTCGTACAAAAACTAATTGTGCTGCCATCGTACTGACAAAATGTTGCAAGAACAGACAATGAGAGAAACGAAAGAAGGGCCTCAGTGTGACGCACTTTCCTTCCAGCGCGATAACTCAAAAAGTTTCCAGCCAATTCCGGTGAAACTTCACATGAAATGAACAAAAGGTCGGCAGCACAATAAGAGGCGGTTCACGCAGTGTTTGAAAAAATGCGAAACTTGTGCTGGCAAGGGGAGCGTGATCCGAACCTTGGGAAAAATATTGGTGCTTGCAAATGCTGCATGAAACGCCTCCAGTGAGTTAACAGATACTGTTTAAGCGGGGCCCACTGTACCAACAACAAAACTACACAACACCAACCTTTTGCTTTCTGTTTTTTCTTTGCTGGTTCTTTAGCTGCCTGTTTTGTCATTTTCCTCTTATTGGCCTTGGCTGACTGGTCCTCATCATCCTCTTCACTGTCGTCATCGTCATCACTGTCCTCGTCTTCCTCGCTTTCCTCCTTGGCTGCTGAATAAAACCAACAGAATAATTTTTTAACCACTTGAATGCACTGTAGGCATATCTCATACACCTCAATTACACCTTCCACCCAGTGCTCTGTAAATCTGTAAATGTATCTCACACCAGCAGCTAAAACCTAGGTTTTGTTTCGCTGATATCTCAGTTACTAGAGTCTTCGCTATGTCGCCAGGTTTTGCTAAAAGAAACACCTATATAAACATAGAATTTGTATCATTACATTGCCATCCACCAACTGTTTGGGTTGTACTATCCTTTTAACTAATGGAAACTTGCTCCGATATACAGCCAGCAGTGCCAGAGATAGACACTACGTACCGAACTCACCCAACTGTGGGGGCCTCAGCTCTAAATACATGTATACATAAATTACCAACAAAAAGACCCATCAAACAAGCACCTTATAAGGTCAGAGCTGATTCGTCAGCTCGAAACGAACTTTCAGTCTCAATACTTTATGGTTGTTTACGTCACCTTTGTCCACAAACAAAGCCACCTCTGCGTTTTTCTTGCCATTGATATTTATTTAGTTTGACAGGAAGTAGGTTCCAGAAACTAAATTTTCAAAGTAGCCATATGCCAAATTTATCTGTTCCATATGAAAGGCCTGGCTTATGTCTCCAGAGAATTTTGGTACCATTCTCTTACCTCAGTCCGTTTTTCAGAAAATGGCAAGATACCTCGGTCAGCTCGTGGGCTGCGTTCAATCTCGTGACCGAAATGACTCGCTTCTATAGTTTTGTTCAGTATACTAGTTATTCCGTTTCAGAAAACGGCTTTAAGTTTTATATAAGGTCACTTCAGCACCATTGTTCACACTGATCAGCTGAACATGTCTGCCAATAGATTCTCTCTGCCTTTTTTTTTTAATTCATGAAAGTATTTAAGTCTTCATTATACATGACATACAATATATAGAACTAGACACTCACAAGCGTATTTAAATATCAATGTAGGCTTGCTCTTGCTCGTTCGGCCATGAACATGGGTATCAACTCAGAATTTTTAAAAAGGAGGAACTTTCCGAGTGATCGCGACAGAAGCCCATTTTCGCGAGACACCCACTATTATTATACAGTTGGACCCTAGATTGTTGAAATAAAAACCATCAATTTATCAAAGCAAGGTCATTTCATACCAGTTTATTAAGGGTTTGGAAGATGATTTCAAGTAAAAGTCATTTACCAAATATTTACAATCTTGATTACGTACAGAAAGTGGAGGCGCACTGTGGTCTTGCGCGACTTATTTATATTGTACCTTCATCATATTCGCCTATATAAACTATATAAAAATGAATCTTGTTTTGAGCCTGGGAAAAGGCCTAGAACCAGAATATTGACTGTCATGAACCAGACTGGGTGTAATGATTCATATAATAAACGTGAAAGAAAAAATTAATGCTCAAACTCAAAGTAGAGTAATAACTTGAAGAGCTCTCAGTGTAGTGTAAGAGGTGTAAGAACTGTTGGAGGGCAAGATACAGTGACACTGAAAATCTGCGAATCTTGGAACAAAAAGCTAAAATATAGAGACATAATTTACTGTCACCTATCCAATGAAACGCGAACACTTAGGCCCATGCCCTAAGTTCATTAACACGCTTACAAGTAGTTATGACGGATCCCGATTATTCACAAGGCATGCACAAACTCGCACTTTATTTTGCAGAGAGCTGTAGTAGATCTAGTAATCAAATTTCTAAATATTAAAATTGGCTTCCAATTTCTGTTCTTTGTTTGTCCTCTGGTGTTGCGTCCAGCCCTCCCCCCACCCCGGAGTGTATCTTTTTTAAAAATTCAATAATCTCCCCCCCGTTTCACAGCGCTCAGAACGCGCGCAGGTTCATTGACCGGTCACAATGACGAGCCCGACAAAACGCTTGTATAACTTACTTTTCTTTTTCGCCTCCCACAAGCGACAGCACAGTGACGAACATTATTTTCATGGCGACACCACGTTTGTAATGCAGAACCTGCATGTTACAAATGTTGCGTATTCAGACTTTTACAGACAAATTTATGAGATCTTGATTTTCCGGTCGAGCCTCGGAGTCACATACAATTCCGCTTGTTCGCGTGAAACATACTCTCCACACACTGGGAAAAGCAGAATTAACATCACAATCGCGACCGGCAAAAATGAACTTTAAAACGTTATCGGATTTGGTTTTCAAATAATATTCGAGATCTTTTATGTATTTCCCCGCGTCTCGGCGATTTTTTGTCACATTCCCGGGTAATTCCCGAGGCCTGGCAGTCACTCTGCTCCCAGCAACTCTCTTTCTGATTGACCCGCTTTCGCAGTAGCAGAGTTTAGCGGAGGACATGGCGGTAGCGGAAATCCGCTAAATAGCAGAATATTGAGACCCATGCATGAAAAAAAATTATATGCCCCCAAAAATGCCAAGCAAAACTACTAAAACTACATACAGGGCGATCCAAAAATAAAACTACTTTTTTTTCTACTTGTCTCGCACAAAATTTTACTAGAATGTTGTAATTCGGAACAGATATTCATTCAAAAAAATTTGTTTGACATAAAATTCACAAAGAAGCTACAAGTGCATAATTGCACCATCCTTCCTCCTGCCAAAAATCAAGTTATAAAGAAAATAAAAAAACATCTTTTTAAATGAGAAACGAATAAATTTAATTTTTTTGGGCTCTCCTGGAAAATGGGTATGTCGCAATATTCGTTCTTTTTCCACAAGACGGCAGCACAGCCTAGCAAACTAATTACTGTAAATATCCGTAACTTATACTAGTACAAGGCGATAGAAAGGCAAGTGCGGATCTTTTACTATGAAATATCGGTAGTCCACTGTCGCAGCTTTTTACGGAGGGAGTTTATAATGATGGAGGAACAAGTACGGAACTGGCAGAAAGTACTTCTGTAGCAGTGTTCTGCTTGTTTGTACATGCCACACCCTTCCCCACTCATTCCCCCCGGCCTTCATTTTTGACAGACATGGGCTCTCCCATTCTTTGTTTCGCTAGTTCAACAACAAGTTTCTCAACTTGCGAGGTTTTACACTACGTATAATTGGCCTTTGCGCTGCGCACAGCCGTTGCAATATTGCTGACTGGCGTTTTTGTCTGATTGCACTATAATAATAATAGCACTATTTTATTTACAAATATAAAGAAGGGGGGAAAACGGGTTTAAGAATAGTGTCTTTATAACAGACTTCTCCTTATTTCAGGACTCGTTATAAGTGGACTCCACTGTATACAAACAACTTACATCATTGTAATGAGGAAGAGCTTAAATTTTTCATGGTTTACAGCACTTTGTGTTTTATAGCAAAAGAGCAAAGAAACCGATCTGAATTACCCTGATTCCACAGAAACCATGCGCTCGGAAGGCCCAATGTCATGTTTACACTACCTACTTACTCCATCTACACAATTAAGATCAGTTAAGAGATGGGTTTTCGACCCTCCCTGTCAAGGCCAACTCAAGCTTAGCTAAAAAGGATACAACATTCCAACAGTAAAACCCAGATCAGATAATCGATAAAAAAAATTCCCCACACTTGGGAATCAAATTCCAGTCTTGGAGCGCTAATTGCTACACCATAGACAGTTTGCTTGAGTTGGAACAGAATGTTAATAATAACCTGTTTACAAATGCCTTCGCTGCAAACAGTTATACATACCAATAACTTTCTGCTTTTTCGAAACTAGCACTGGTGCCACTGTCCCTTTCCTCTTGGTTGCTCCTTTTCCTTTGGCAGGCTGCTCTGCTTCCTCGTCATCATCGCTACTGTCATCTGAAAAACAGAAAACCCACAAATGTGAGGCTTGATGTAAAATTGACATTACGGTCTGCTTACAGCTCACAACTAATGGCAACATTATAATTATAATTGGTTCAGCTGTGTTTTCAATAGCCCTTCCAACTTGTCTTCAGCACCATGAACCTGTCTTAGTGAAATGTGTTTCCAGTGGTGCAGAGATATATCCAGGCTCCCGCCAATTTGGGCGTCCCCTGTCAAATTTGCAAAGATGTTTTCCACTTGGTGACAATTTTCTTAACTTTTTAGGAGACCAAAATCAGCAAAACTTTCCTTGTGATGATTGAAGCAAAAAAGCCAGTTCGCTCCTAGTTCAACCGACCATTGTGCAATCTATGACACCTATGATGGCACATTTATGAGTTTATCATCTTTTTTGTTGTGTAATAGCATGGCTTTGATTTACCTCCACACACTGCTGAATCAGAGCTCATATAAACAATGGTTGCCTACCTCAAACTTCCCATTTCAGGTAAATTCAGGGTCAGTTTCATGGTATTTTAGCCCAAAATAAGCATAACATTTACTTTTTCAACAACATTTTGTCCTGTTTGATTTCTTCACCTACATATCTTTCCATTGCAGGCAATATTTCAAAGCAGGTTCCCCTTCCATTGCTACTATAATTCAATTAATTTGTCATCGCACCATTGACAGAAGGCAAACCCGGAAACAATGAATAGATATGTACCTTCACAATACAAATACCCAGCGTATTTTGTTTTGTTTTGGTAAGTGCTTTGACTAGGGGCGGGCACAAGATGAGCCGAGTACTCGTTTCTCGCGAGAAACGCCCTTCCTGTCGCTTCCCGAGCACTAAACTACTGCTCGGCACCAAACTACTGCTCGGTACCCAGACGTGATAATGCTCGTTGGCTTGATATAACAAGTAACAGTAACGAGAGTGAGAGGCGAGAAATGACCGCAGACAGTGCCACCCATCACCGTGCCGTCCTGTGTGTGAAACTGAAAGGGAGGGGAGAGGGTGGCGAGACTAGGCGAGTGGGGAGTTGATCAGGGCCTCGGCCGACTCCCTACCTCCCTTCACCGCCTGGGCCTGCGCACCAGGGCAAGCCTAGTTTCTAAGTTTAGATCCCCGCAACGACCGGCCTTCCCGCTAAACGAGTTGCTCGTTCTGTGGGGCGAGAAGAGAAATGTTGGCCGCGGCCAGCCTTCTCGCTGTACGAGCGGCTCGAACTGCGGGGCGAGAAGAGAAATTGGTCACGAGACGAGAAGCATTGCTCGAGACACGAGACGGGAAATATTTCTCGTTCCCAGGACCGGTCTTGGCGAGAAATAGGTCAGCTCTCGGTCTTCTCGCTGGGGAAGGAAAAAGCGCTTCCCGCCCGTCTCTAGTTTTTACAGCGCTCGCAACTGCATACAGTCATATGAGCGCGCGGGACACACCTAATATTTTCAGTTGGTAGGAAATTTTGAATTTTGCCCGGGTGGGGGCCGAAGCCTACTCTTATCAATTTTAGACCACCAAGGGATTTTTAACATGCGTAACTTGCACACGGGCCCTCAGAGATGGCTAGGTGTAGATCTTTCGTACCAGAAGATCAGGGGTGTGGCAAAAAGACAGCAGTTTGGAGGAGCCAAGGAGCAGTAGAAAGGCTGCAGAAAGAGTCAGGAGTCCGGGGGGGGGGGGGGGGGGGGGGGCAAAGAAGGTGAGGGGGTGGGGGCAGAAAGTGAAAACGAAAGCAGACAACAGAACATTGCTTGAGAGCAAGAAAGGAGGTGAAAGGAGACAATTTTAGAGAAGAAAACTTTTCGGCCGCTACCCGGATTCGAACCCGGGACCTTTGAATGAGAGGCCAACACCGTAACCTCTAGGCCACGAGAGCCCCCCACCCAGCGTATACCCTAAATTTCCTCAATTTTCACGTCTGAATGTCGCATGTCACAACCTCGGAACACCATTTCGAATTATTGTTGATTTTTAGTAAGTTTTAGCACAAATTTCTTTCATCGTGGCCATTATAGCGTTCCCGTGCGGTAAAATCTTCACACTGATAATTTCTCTAGATCTAGACAATAAATTTGCAAAAAGGTTTTTCTGACAGTAATTTTCTGTCTAAGATCACAAGTCAATTTACTTGATCAACGCGCAGATTTTCCAGCCGCTGTAACAATCCAAAGATAGACAGACGGAATGAGGAGGGAATGATAGAAAGGAGGAAATTGGCACAAAAAGTTTGCCAGATTTTAATCAATCTGCAGGTAAAAATGTACTACCGACCAAACCGCAATGAATGCACGGGGCATAGACTAGCGGAATAATGGCCGATGGCAGGAAATGCGCAATCTGGCAGGTTTCTATAATAACATAAACTTATTGCCGAGAGAATTATCGTAAATATCCGTAACTTATACAAGACGATACAAAGGCAAGTACAGATCTTTTGCCATGGAATTTCGGTAGTCCTACGCTGTGGCAGACTTTTAAGGAGGGAGTTGAAAATGATGGAGGAACATGTACAGAACTGACAGAAAAGTACGGATTTCCGTAAAAATAAGGAAGAGTGGAAGCACTGGGTATCGATTTTCTTTCTACATTCACAATTCTGTTTTTTTAAATAAATGAATTAAATGCACAGATTTTCCAGCAGCAGCAAAAATCCGAAGATAGACAGAAAGAAAGGATGAATGAAAGGAAGGGGGAAGATTATCTATCGTGAGTATACAGATTTTAGCCGATAAGCATGTGAAAAACTATTGCCAACCGAAAGGCACAGATAGACAATAGCATACCTGCCAACATTGCCAGGGCCAAAATCTGTAGTTGACACAAATTTTTGTCCAAAAATCTGTAGTTGACCTAAAAAATCTGTAGTAAGCTATATTGCCACTTGTCGCATACTCAATTTGGGACCCTTATCAAATTTTGACCCACATCAAAATATGAATGAATGTGTTTGCGACTTCAAACAAATGTAGAAAATGACAAAGAACAAAAAAATATGACAAATATGAAAACTAGTAGCTGGTGCCGTCCTGTCCTATTCATACGTGCATGCACACACAAATGAAACAAAAAAAAACAACAAAAAAACAGAAGCGAAGAAGAAAAGATGAAGAAAAGGTGGGCCTTGGATGACTTAGGCCTAGCCTTGGCCCTTTGCAGATTTACCCAACATTGTTCGGGAATCGGGCGACAGTGATAAAGAGTTTGAAGGATTAGGTCCTCAAACAAAAGATTTAGATCTATGAGTGAATGATGGGGATATTGTGTTGTGTCGTAGATCTAGCGAAGTTAAGCCCAGAAAGGGACGTCGATATTCCTGCTGATCTCTAAGCAGGCTGGACTAAAAGTGATGAGGATTTTTATACCAACATCATAAAAAAACGCAACTGACCAGACATAAGGGTATTTAAGACGCATTTTTCCATGTTACTGTAATTAGAAATTATGATAAAAAATAAAGAAATGAACTTTTTTTATTACCATGTTGAAAATTTGCATTTTTCTAAAGTAAACCCACCACTGAAGGGAAGAAATGGTAAAAATGGCTTAGCGCTAAGAGGGTTTAAGAACATACCATCATCAGCAGCCACTACTTTTGTTCCATTTGTCTCTGGAACAGCTGCGGATCAAGACAATATAAACCTATTAGCTGCAAATGATTATATATTATCAGCCCTAAAAAATGTATTAGTATGATATAAATACATTTGTATAGATCTAGGACATATATCCGCGCTCTAAACACTTTGCAACTGAATTATTACCCCAGCAGATCTTCCTTGGAGCATACAGTGTAAGCAGCCAATTCTACACTAAAACTGACAAAATCTTTCACTGTCTATATTCCCACCCTAATTTTTCATTTGTCAAAATCTCTAATGAAAGTAAGAATAAAAGTTTTAGAATATTGAAAGTTCTTCATGAATATGTGATGCAAAAAGTATTTTGTGGAGTTGATGTAGTCGTGGTGTTGGAAATGACTGAATAAAAAGTGCCGCTTCATTAGATCTAGACTAGGGTCTAGATGCTTCGTAGGCCTACGTTATATTCCACAAAGTGTTAGCTCTCATCTGGCATCAAAACCGTCGAAATTATCTTCCAATTCAAGGAAAATACGTGGAACATCATCTGAAGCGACACTATTTTCATGTTCGTCGTAGGTCGCCATAGCGAATTTTCCAACTTCACTGTCACTCGACTCCAACGTGAAACAAAAAACTCCTCGCCCCTCTACCAAACCCCGTGACAAGAAAAACGGCGGAGAAATCAATTCTGCGTAGCCTACCAGCCAGCAGTATAAAAATTAGTACTTCGTTCTTTTTGTACATCACATACTATGCCAATGTCTATTGACCGGTAGTCACGATCAGCGCTTTGCGGAAGTTCGGGCTGTCGCGACAGTTGGACTCAGCGCTCTAAGGGTTAATATTTTGCTACAACAACAGGGACTAGAATAAAAAAACTTTGCTTCATAAATTTATATAAAATACAACAAATCTCCCTCTTGCGGAAAACGGTATCATTCACAGCACTTTCCGCTTCCCACGGGGGGCGCGGGCGCAAGTGTTTTACGGCGCTCGAAACAGGGTTGGTGATTTTTACATTTTTTAAAAATAAGTTTTTTAAAAATCGATAATTTAAATCAGATTATTTTTTTTTAACTGTCGACACTGGGATTTTTGGTGGCTTAAAGTATGTTCTTTTAGCGAAAAATGCATTGCTTTTATTTTAACTAATGATTAATTTAAGCAACAGCAAAAGAAAGCCTTAATCTGCTATATCAGTGAATTATGGCTACAGACAAAAAATGAAGAAAATTTCAGTCTAAAAGGAAGGGGGTGGGTGGGGGTTAATTATGCATAGATAAACTTGCATTTTATCACAGTGTGTGGGCGTAAGTGCGCGCGCTTGTGTTTGTCGAAAAAGAAAATGCTAATTTCAATTATGAAAGGAAAGTAAATTGAACACTGTATTATTTTACAACTTACAGTGACAGGGGGGAAAGCAGACTTTTAAGCATGATTATTTTTAGTCTACTAAACCGTATATCTGTTTTATAAAACTAAGGAAAGGAATTCTGAATGTTTAAAGACATAAAAACAGAATACATTAAAATTTGTTTAGGTGATTTAAATCACTGAGTTTTATTTTTAAAATCAAGTTGATATTTTTTTTTAAAGACCTGATTTAAATGAACCCAACCCAGGTTTTCAATTATGAAAAAAAGTAAATTGAATACTGTATTATTTTACAGTGACAGGGGGGAAAGCACACTTTTAAGCATAATTATATTAGTCTACTAAACCCTATATTTGTTTAATAAAACCAAGGAACGGAATTCTGAATGTTTAAATATGTACAAACTGAATACATTTTTTTTAAGTGATTTAAATCACTTTTTTAAATTTAAAATCAAGGTGATTAAAATTTAAAAAATCAGCTGATTTAAATCAACCCAGGTCTGATTTCAATCAAGGAAAAAAAGTAAATTGAATACTGTATTATTTTACAGTGAAAGCAGACTTTAAAGCATAATTATATTAGTCTACTAAACCTTATATCTGTTTTATGAAACCAAGGAAAGTAATTCAGAAAGTTGAAATATGTAAAAACTGAATAAAAATAAATTTTTTTAAAAGTGATTTAAATCACTGATATTTATTTTTAAAATCGAGTTCGTTTAAACAAAAAAAATCAACAGATTTATATCGACCTGATTTAAATCAACCCAACCCTGGCTCGAAACAGCACGGTCAAATGACTGCGTGGGACACAAAACTTTTTCAGTTGGTGGAAAATTTTGAATTTTGCCCGAGTGGCTGCCGAAGCCTACTCTTATCTATGTTATAGACCACCAAGGGATCTTTAATGTGCGCACCTAGCACCCGGACCCTCCCGAGATTTTTCGCCCTTGTCCGAGACAGCTAGGTGTAGATCTTTCCTACCAGAAGATCAGGGGTGTGGCTGAAAGACAGCAGTAAGGAGCCAAGGAGTAGCAGTAGAAAGGCTGCAGAAAGAGACAGTAGCCCAGAGTAGGGGGCGGGGGCAGAAAGAGGAGACAAGTTCTGTCAAAAACAAGATGTTTGAGTCTGTCTTTTAGGCATACGTTAAGAGTATGGTGGGAAATTTGTCAACTTTGTAGTATTTTAAGTGTATGCTGTAAATCCCCCCTTATTTTTTGGACCTGCTGAAGACTTTAACATCAAAGAAAACTCTTTGGAACCTTAGTTTCCAGTGACCTTTATAAATAGGTTTTTTCGATTCTGTTGGTCATCCAACTTTTAGACCCGAATGCAAAGATCTGAAAAGTTTAAACGAAGCTATTTCATTTTATCCCGTTTTAATAAATGTCAGACGAAAGAAAACAAACTAGTTTTTAGTCCATGAAATCATGAAATAACCTTTTGAGAAATGTGCAAAAGATCATGAAACGGCTTTAAGAATTGTATTAGCTCCCAATGATGCAAAAATTGGAGCTACCTTTTTTTATTGGAGTATTTCCATTTAATGTAGCACATAATTTCTAAGGGAAGTTTCCGAAAAATTCCTAAAACATTGGACCCCCAGAAAAACTGTGGCCTTAACACAATGAACACAAATGCTTAACAAACCATCATCATCATCCTCTTCCTCACTGGTGTCTTCATCACTACTTTCAGTTTTTTTAACAGGCTTGGCAGGCATTGCTTTCTTGGTCTTTACTTGCACAACCTGAAGGAAAAAAAATTTAAGATTGAATAATAACTCAAAACATAAACTGTACAACATCTGCAGCAGAAAAATAAATGCCAATATGAATACCGGTACAAAAATAAAAATGCCATCTGCAGTAAAATGAGTCCCAGATTCCACTTACACTGCCTCACATATAATCCAACTGAACCCCAAGATTTTTAAGACTTCTTTTTGAACGAATGGTATGATTATTGATGTCAATTTGTAGTTCTGGGAGATTTCTATGTAATGGCTTTTGTATCCCCACTTAACATTATTTCTGTCTCATTCAGTTTCAATTTATACTGGTCATCCATATTTCTAATTCCCAAATAGTGCTCAGTAGAGTCGACTAAAAGTGTATATTTAATCGAAATCAATAGACTTAAATCAGGGTGTCATCAGCATAACGATGGTAATTCATGCCATATTATAAAATATCAGCAATAGGTTGTGTATACACTGTAAACAAGACAGTTCCAAGAACACTAAATCTGAAAGAAAAAAAAACATAATCTAAACAACTGCTTGGGTTCGATCTTAAAAATATGACTCAAACCATTGCAGGACAGTAACCTTTATGCCAAAAGTAGTATTTTTAGTCCCCTGAGTAAAATGTCACGATTAATGGTATCGAATGCAGCTGAAAGGTCCAAAAGAGTAAGAATACTACTTTTGTTTCATCAATTCCTTTTCAAATATCAGTACATACTTTAAGTAAACATGTCTCTGTACTATGGTTTACCTTGTATGCTGAGTGGTCAGTTAAATACATGCAGAGCAGGTTGTAACGGAGTACAAGTACTCCGATACTTGTATTTACGTTACAATTTTTGGTACTTTTACTCTACTCTTGATACTTTTTATAAAAATACTTTTGAGTATTTTTAAAGCACATTTTGAAGCTTATTGAAAGAGTAAGTGCCAGCATTTCTGATCATAATTTAAGGAAAAAACACCCCCAATCAACCAAGAGTTAAAAGTTGAGATCAAAGAAAGGCCCGTCGCGTCAAAGATCAGCCACTTTCGTGAAGGTAATCACAAGCGTTATAAAACTCATTGAAACAGTACAATTATGCGACAGTAGCTCCTCTTAAAAAGCAATTCGGATATTTATCTTTGTCGTTGCTGACTTTCCGTGTTTTTTGGGTTTTTTGTTTTTTTTTACTATATTATGACAAATCACAAAACAGCTACCTGTTCCTCTTCTTCACTGCTGTCATCTTCCTCACTACTACTTTCTTCTGGTGGCGGCGCTTTTGCTGGTGCCTTTTTTCCTTTTTTGCCAGCAGGCTGTGCGACCTGAAATACAAATAGGTATAAAAGAATCAATAAAATCTGACATTGTTTAAAGTAAGTGAAAGTAGCATGGGTCTCAACTCAGAATTCTAAAAAAGGAGGAACTTTCTGGGTGATCGCCACAGAAGCCCTTTTTCGCGAAACACCCATTATTATTATTATACTGTTGAACCCTAGAATGCAGAAATGAAAACCATCAATTTATCAAAGCAAGGTTATTTCACACCAATTTGAGGGTTTGGGAGATAATTTCAAGTAAAAATCACGTACCAAATATTTACAATCTTGATTATGTACAGAAAGTGGTGGCGCCTGGGGTCGTGAGCGACTTATTTATATTTACCCTTCATCATATTCGCCTGTATATATAAACTATATAAAAAGGAATATTGTTTTGAACCTAGAACCAGAATATTGACTGTCATGATTCATATCATATCATATATATATATCCTAGATCTATGCTACTGATAAAACATAAAACATTGACACAAAGTATTTAAATCAGTATCAATATTTCAGTGGGCCTATACAAAAGTCCAGACCACCATATCCAAGTAGTGCCGCCTACCCTACTAGATCTACATATAAAATAGATCTCTAGATCTAGAATATCTACAATCTAGATCTAGAGGCTAGCCGTACAACTTAAGTACAGCTAGACTGGCAGTCTAGCCGTACTTATTCTTAATATGATGACTAGACTGACCATTTACAAAAAATAGGCCTACTGAATTGTAAATATACATTTTTAGTGTGCAGTGGCAGTACCTAACCTAAAGTATTTGTATTTGCGACGAAACCAGGTGCCTTAATGACAGTGTATGTATTTTAAACCTCCTGTTTTCTAATGTTAATAGGGCCTAAGATAAGTACGGCTAGACTGGCAGGACAGGAAGCTGGATTCACGAGTCACAGGAAGTCGGAAGTGATGTCATGCTGGACAAGAATCAGAGTCCGAATAACATTTTTTCATATTCGGACTCGAGTCCGAATAATCACTTCGTTTGCCGTTAGGCTGCATCCCTACTCTTTGTGTAGCCTATTTCAAATAGTACTTGGTCCTTGGTCATCAAGACTTGATTTCTTCTCTGGATGTAAACAAATGGATCGTGGACTTTAACGAACGGAACTACAATATCACACCAAAAAAAATCCCTCCACGCTAAAGTAGAGTCGGGTAACTTCGCCACCCTCAGTTGGCTTGCGACGAAACAAGCCTACACCTCCTCTAGGCTCAATGTAAATTATCCCAGTTTCGTCTGGAACTTTTCGTAGCCAATGAACATGCAGATAGCCCACTGATTGGTTTGCTTGCCAGTCGTACTTCATCTGTTTCGTTTTTTCAAGTGGATATGGTGACGGGGAACTTCGCCACCATATCGGGGAAATTCGCCATACTGGGAGATCATCTTATTTCTTTATATATGTAGATTATTAAACACATGTAAAAACTGATCTTTTGTTAAAGGAAAACCTGCATTTGCAGCTGCAATCACTTTGTCAACAATTTCATTTCTCTCTCTCCCAGCCCTCATTCCAAAAGTAGATAGATTTAGATCTAGATCGACTACAGACATGGTCGGCAAGAGAGGTTTTTTGGGAACCCTAGATCTAGATCTAAATTCTCAGGCTGCCCCAGAGCAGCTTTGCCCATCTTAAACCGCTTCAACGGCTTTCTTCAAATTACTTTATTAGGCACTTGGATAAAAATTTCAAAGCTTTCAAATTGCTTTAAAAACAATACCAATGCAAAGAGCTCAGTGACACGATTCCAAC